CTGTGCCAGCACAAACCCACCAATGTAGAGGCAACTATACAGCCAGAAGAATTCCTTTGTCAGCCCAGCTAGTGCTGTTTGTGCAGGGAATGTAACAGTCCTAGCAGAAACCCCTCTTTCTCTTGCTCAGTGTATGTAATTATGCCAGCAGAATTTCTGAAGTACAGTCAGGCAAAAAGACTGGCACGGGCATGAACAGAGAAACCCCGAGCAGTGCCAGATCAAAACTTGGTTCTTGAAGTTATGTGTGGTAAATAGACCTTAAGTGACTGTTCTGTGACAGATGAATTTCAATCTTTATGTTTAATTATTGACATGATAGTACTACTTGTTTCCATTTTTCCCTTCAGAGTTTTCATTTTATTATTTTGGCTTTGATGCTCACAAAATGAGCTCTTTTCAAAATAAACAGTGAAAGGTAAAATTCTCCTTACCTTTTCCAGGTGACTATTTCCTGTCACATAATACCAATTTCACCAATGTTAGAAATGAGCACTGATAAGGATTTCTGTCAGTCTTGGGTTTCTCCAGATGTTTAAGGAAAACAACAGTCAAATTTGGGTATTCTGTCAAAGCAACATGGAACTGTGGGTGTTCTGCTCACATATAAAGGTTGTAAATCTAGAGTGTGTGTGTGTGTGTGTGTGTGTTTGTGTACAACTCCAAAGTACTACCTCCTGGTCTGTGCTGTCCTGTTTCCTACCTGTTCTCCCTTCACCAGGAAGAATTATTTGATTTCTTGAAATCCTGTTTAGTAGTTTGAACTAGAACTGATAGTATGCTGAAATTATCCTTCCAAACTACAAACAGATGTTTCACTGCTTCCCAATGTAGATCTGAAGTACAGAGAAGAGTTGTCAGTGACTGAGAATCACATTAGGAGAGCAAATAAGTATTTATAAATCATCCCCAGGTGTCACTCCTGAGTCAGACAGAAACATTTTAGGAGCAAATCTGAGAATTGGTTTTCCTTTTCTTTTTTTTTTTTTTTTTCTCGCTGTTGTTTCTTCAATTGACACTTTCCTCCTTAACTTTATTTCCCATTACTCTCAGTAATAATGTCAACTCCAGCAGGCCAGTTTAACCTGTCTGAAATATATTATACTTAGAGGAAATCTTGGGGAGTTTTTGAACTTAAGTTACAGTAATGTAACTGCAAAAATGCCTCCCTGGCAACACCTCGTGGATTTATGGTTAAATGACTGATTATTGTATTTGATAAATCCTTTCCTATTTTGTACAACTCTGCTAATTTCTGTCATCCTTTTGGAGCAAAATCAAATGACAAGGAGAAAGCATTTATTACTCTCAACAGGTAACTACGTGGAAAGCAAAAGCAAGCTCTGTAAATCCCATAACCCAAAAAAAGCTGAAATGTAACTCTGCTGGTAAATAAGGCACATATTTATTATTCCCTAAAAGTAAATATCACTGTAGTAAAACCATCATTCCATCCATCTCATATTTGTGTGTGTGTGTTTGAACAGTCTACAAAGAACCAAACAGTGTTCTGCTTAGGGGATTTAATGTGTATTGTACAAGGTACTGAATAAATTATTAACATAACCACAGTTTCTAAGTAATAATATCCTTATCTTAATATCACTTAATGAATTTATTCTTAATGCTTCTTGGTTTTGTTTCATTTGTTGGCTGAATCCAATATTCTACTTTATAAACAGCTTCTAAATTCAGGTATTACTTCTCTCATAATAAAGCCAGTTGGTATGGTACACTTCTCCCAACAAAGTGCTTAAAGTTTTGGTTTTTTTTTTAAATAATGTTAACTTCCTTCTATCAAAATTACTCAAAACTGAAGATTGCACAAGAATCTTGCTAAGGCAGAAAATGTACTCCTTACTCCTGCTCACAGATTTGGAAATACTGTGTGTTTTAGATGTGTGGCAAGATCTGTCAGTGGGAACTATTGCTTGTGATGATCTGGTGGTTATATGTCTGTTTTCACACTCTTGGGAAGTAGGACTTTTGAATTTTAGGACGTGCAGAGAACAAAGGCAACAGCCTGTGACAACTGTAATTCCTCACCGCTTTTCTAACCATATTTTGCCCCTATTTTGTCATTCCTTACTTCAGTGGAACTGTAAAGAGCAAAGGAGGAGAGGCTGTGACTTGTAGTGGTTGTTTATATGAATGGCACATTAAAGACCCTTTACTCTCATTGCTCCCCAGTTTCCTATGTGAGAAAAATGTATAATCAAGGGTTTGTGTTTTGGGAATTAGTTTATCCCTAAAGGCTGTAAGCTCTGGGAAAAAGTAATGCAACTGTAGGAGGAAAATTATTGCTATAAGAAACAGCATCATTCTCCAGAGCTCTGATGAAATGAGCTGTATTTAGCCTTTTAACTGGGGGGAAGTTTCCTAGAGTTCAATTGAAAATATGAGACTTCCTTGTATTTACTTCTTGTCTTACGATAAATATGTTTGAACTCTAACTAGCCATGTAGGAAAACTCTTTCTGGCCAGCTGAGAGTGCAAGCGTATCTGCCACAATATCTTATGGTCCCATACATTTGATATCATATAATTAGACACAAATTAATTTCTACTGTACTTTCGAGTTTGACAAGACTTTTCAAATGAAGTCAATGGTGCATTAGTTCACCAAATGTACTTCTGTGGTGGACTTAGTTTCACATCCCCACTAGGTAATCAGCTGTTTCTTTTTTTCTGTTTTGTTTCTGGCCTTTTTTTCCAGGCCCTAGGAAGTAAAACTCCAGGACCTGCCTGGATTAAGGAATTAAAGCTGCTTGCCATGTGGTCAGGTAAGCCCCAAAGCCTTCCTGGTGCTTCAGAGTACAGAGAGAAGAGCAGGACTATCCCTTTCACTACCACCAAGACATTTAATCAGCTTAGCTCTCTATAATCTAACCACATCTTTGGTGACCTCCAGACCAGTTTTACTAACTAGACATGAATCACTTCTGTGCCAAAATGGTCTGATTTAGAATATATCTCACTACATTTGGGTGACAAAATATTTTAGGAATCATTATGTTAACACTCCTGCATATCATGCAGCAGATGGACTAAAGTTCAATGACCGGATGCTGTTTTGGAGAGAGGCATTTTGTGTAGACAAGAAAAGTTCTTGCCAGCAAGAGAAAAACAGATGCGCTTCTTCTGCACCAGGAAAACAGAGGAAAGAATTTAATAGCAAAAAGAAAAGTAGTTGTGAAGAGTCTAACAACACTACCTGTGATAGGAGTTATAGCATGAAGTTACTTTCACTGATAATGTTGTCTCACAAATAATGTCAAGTCTTACAGTCCTCTCTTTCATATTTTTCCCACAAGTCTTATATTCGGGTTACACCTACTGGGAAGCACCAACAGATCATCTTCAAAATGTTCCACATAATAGCACTGAGTTTATTATATGTTTCCTTTTTTTTTTTTTTGGTCACACCTAAACTGGATTTTGTCAATTCCTGTTTCTCCACCAGTCTTGAGCAGGCAGAAAAGCCTGCAATAGAAAGCCTTCAGCTGTGCACCTGGCCCATAGAAACAAGTGCAGAAGACACAACAAACATTTCCATCTGCTAGAGACAAGAATACAGATTTGTTAGACTGTTCCACTCCAAACAGTTCGTGTATTCCCACATGGTTTATTTTGTGGGAAAATAAGTCTCATACATAGTAATGTGGAATGAAATCACAGTTTCTTATACAGTGTTTTTCTTTTCTCTTTCTGTAGTCAAAAAAGGCAATTAACTTAAATATGGCAAAGAGAAATTTAATTATAAATAAGCCTGTAATTCTGATCTAGCTACGTCACTGATACTGGATAGAGGCAGTTATTGCTACTTGCTAGATATTATTTGTAACATTGTATTTAAAATAAATTCTAGTAGATTAAGCCATCAAGATACAATTTAGCTGTGTAAACTGTTTTCATTGTGGCAGTTTGCTGTCAAAGCTTGTTCTTTTTCCTGTGAGAAGACCAAATACATTTTCAGAAATGTTACATTCACTGTGTATACATCTACCTGGCTGAGAAGGACGTGTCGTATACACCTATTTTTCCATGCTGGTTACTGCAGTTATAGCACAGTGACAGTTCTATGTTTTGGAAACAATAAGAGCAAAATGCAAATAATGTTTTGAATAAAAATTGTAAAATATTGATAAAGCTCTTCTTTCATGATTCGAATGTAATGTTATTAAATGTCTCATATAACCATGGTTATAAGCAAAAAAAATAGCTAAACCCCAAAAAATGAACCTAGCAAATAAGCCACTCAAACGCTAATAGACTAGATAAATGAGGCTAATTTGGAGGTGAGGAGCAATATCCCAACAATCAGATCTCTAGATTTTGTCACTCCATTATACCTGAAGGTCTTAGAAGTATTTCATACAACACAATTACGAAGTACTTGTTGAACTTGTAATTTAACAGTATCTCTTTTAAAATTAGAACCCCATTCATTTACAAGAAGCAATTCTTTCCTCAGCTGTGTGTTCCAAACATTGTTCCCTGTCCATCCAGGGAAACAGGTACCATGGAAGTTGTCTGAAGCTGCGGAGTGAGTCAGCGGCAAACCCAGGAACTGAACTGCTCATGTCTCCTGCCTCTGTTTTTTTCCATCTTCTGTTCTTTGGACTGGGACAAAAAGTAAGCATTGCATATTATAAGAAAACATGATTACTGCAGCCCATCACCACAAAGTTTTAGAGACAAGAACAATTATTATGAGCTCCTGTTTGGAGATCTTTCTTAGGGTTTGTAATGTTTAGCACCTGTCCAAGAAATGCCTTCTATAAATAAGCATTTTCTGTTTCAGACAAAATTGGTGCAGCTGCTCAGTTTTTCTACAATTGTGAATTGCCAAAAAAGGAACAGTAATTCCTTGGGGACCTCAGAGTTAAATCCTTTGTATGTAACGTGATACTATGCAGTGGGGCTGTGATGGAAGTCCATTATTGCTGCCTGCTCTTGGAGTTGCTCAAACTGAGAACTGAGAAGTCCTTTGTAGATGATCCTCACTCTTTTACAACTTCTGTGGCTTTGTAGTTCCATAATTACTGCCCTGATGGCACCCTGCCCCAAAAATGAATACTTTGATCATTTGCTGCTCTCTTGTACGCCTTGTCATCTCCGATGTTCCAGTTCGCCACCGCCTTCGTGTGAGAACTCCTGTGAGCAGCGTAAGTGCTTTGCTGGAAGTCCTGTGGCTGTGCTGGGCAGTCCTGGGTTGTATTTGACACTGAGCTTTTATGTGCTGGACATGTTTACTGTACATTAGTTCTTGTTAATGATTAATTTAACGCATCTCTTTTATTTCATAAGGTACCGATTCGAGTGGAATTCTTTGGATTTGTTTGGGCTTGGGAGTAATTTTAATGCTCACTCTGTTCACCTTAGTGGTCTTGTTCAAAAGGAAGCGCCTCAAGCAATTAAAAGAAAAACTGGAAAACACAGGTGAATAAATAAGATTATTTATAAATAATTGGAGATCACTGTACCTTTTAGCTACTCTTACCATGTACAAATTTTGCATATCATTTATATTCCAGATTGGGATGACTTACTTTGTTGGATTGTTTTGTATTCCTCAAATAGTCTCCATGAAGTTATCAAAGTTATTAGGCAATAAAATATCCGGATGGTGACTTGCAAAAGCAGGAATCTCTCTTTGTTGGTTCCAGATCCTGCCAGGATTGTATGGTTGTATATTTATACCTGGTTTACTTACTGGTGTTTGAGAAATCATTTATGAACCCTTAATAGCAAAAAATCTTTTTAAGGGCTCTTCTCATTGAATGCAAAAGGAATTCTACACAGGTAGAGGATACACATTCAATACCAGCTTTTCATCTTATAATAATTTAAATAATTTTGTTTAGTATTGCAGTGTATGAGAAGTCTATGTGGTATTTTTTTTGTGACATTTAATTTAAAAAATTTAATCTATTTTTACATTTTACAAATACTATATTTGTGAGTTTTCACACAATAAATAATAACTTATTAGAAAATATATGTTTGATTACTTCAGTGCTTGAAGAATAGCAGTTATATTTTCACAGAACAAAAGATCATCATATATAACTACATCTTAAAACTTTCACTATATCTTAAAACTTTCACTAAGGCTAGAACATAGCTGGAACATAATGAAATTTGGATCTTTAATAACTGTATGTTTGGTATAGCATGATGTATCTTCTAAATTAACTTCTGTATATTTACAGACTCCTCTGTGGAGCTGAATAATATTCTCAAGGCTAATACTGACAGCAGTGTGAATACAGAAGAAATTAGACACACACTTCAAAGTGAAACATTAATGTATTCAGTGGAAGAATGCACTTGCAGTGACTGTGGCTTGGTGAAACCTCAGATTGGCTGTGAAACTTCATTTCCATTACCAGCTACTGAAGAGCGAGCGACTGTTCTAGTTACCACAAAATCTTTCGATTATTGCAACTATGTTCTGGGTGTTGGATGACTATGAGAGTAGTATATTTTTACTGTGTAATAATAGATGAGTTATTCCAGTACAGTGATTAATCTTAATACTTGCAGTCAGTGGAGGAGGTAGTACATTGTCCTTATAGATCTTCCACTGAGCTTTCATTAATGTTGTCATATTGTTTCTAATGCTAGTGTTTCTCTAGTCAAGTATTTCTACAAACTAGTTACTGGAAATTTTAATTTTTGAAAGCCCTTACATAGGACAGCTTTTTCTGCCCATAAAGATTGTATCTAAATACAAACCCATCAATAAACAAGTGTGCAAATATATGCTTTATGTTAAACTCAGATCTTGTGCCAAAAATTACTTGATGGGACACAAGGAATGTTCCAAAAGGCAGAAATGAAGACCCACAATATATCCTCAGGGTTGTAAAGAATAACTTCAAATAGCCCCTATGGTACTTACCTTTATCATATTTACAAAGATTGGTGATTACCAAGAGTCATGCTAGGCTGTGTGGCCTAATATTAGGAATATACTTCTGTCCCCTTGTCTTCCAAACGTTAAAGTTATTTTCCTAATATTAGGCCAGTTTTATTCCTGGAAAACTGCAACAACAACAGAAAAAAATGCCAACCCAACAATTTTCTTTATTCCTAGCTAAATTTATATTTCAGTTTCTTGCACAAACGACAAATTAAAATATTTTAGGACCAGTAAATTATCGCACAAAACCTATGAACGATACCGTTAGAGCAGCTTTAGGAGGCTGACACAAAGCTTGGGCTGGTTGGGATTTTGCTACATAGGTCTGGGCACACAGAGCCAAAACCTCTGAAACAGGCCTAGATAGAGAGCTGTTAAATTTATTTTGGACTTTTTAATTCCTGAAAGCTCTTACACAGGACAGCTTTTTCTACCTTCAGAGATTAGACACACACTTCAAAGGGAAACATTAACACGCCCAGTGGAAGAAGGTGCTTGCTGTGACCGTGGCTTGGTAAAAAACCTCAGACTGGCTGTGAAACTCCATTTCCATCACCAGCTACTGAAGGATGAGCAAGTGTTCTAGTTATGCCACAAAATCTGTTCTTTTGATTATTGCCACTGCCTGTTGGACCATATATTATTATATTTTATTTTCTGTTCCACAGTTTTTATACCTTTTTTATTTTATTTTTTTTTTTATAATGACCGTTTCCGAGCTTTCACCTTGCACAGCACCCGTGCCAGCACAGGACAGTTTATCTCCCCTTCTCTCCCCCATCCTCTGCCCGGTGTCTCCCACAGAGTGGCTCAGCCCGGGCGGGCGGGGCTGCTGTGGGGTGGCGGTGGGGGTCGGCGAAGGGCTCCGGGCCGGGGGACACCGTGAGGGCCCCGGGGACACCCTGAGGGCCCCCGGGCTGGCCGCGGTCCCCACACGCCGGGCCGTGTTTACCTTCCGGGGCGCGGGCGGGTTCCGGGGCGGGCGGTCGCTGCCGGCCCGGCCGTGGCTGAGCGGAGAGCGGCGGCCCCGGCGGACGGAGCCCCGCGGGCACCATGAGCGGTGAGTGGGGCGGGCCGGGCCCGCCGCCCCCGGGGGAGGGCTCAGCCCGGGGTCCCGGCCAGGCGTGGCCCTGCCCCGGTCCCCCCTCCCCCGGTCTCCCCGTTCTGAGGCACCGAGCGCTTCGGTGTCTCATCACCACACCCCGCTCCTCGTTCCGGCTCCCCACAAGTCCCCCCGAAGTGGTGTTTTAGCCTCGTTTTAACCCCTAAGTGCTGTCCTTGAGCGTGGCTTTACTGGCTCCACAGCACGAGTGATGCTGGACTCGGTGTTGCCTCAACTGTGCAAAATCACGGGAGATATTCCCGAGGAAATACGTGACCAAAAGGAATGGGGATAATAAAAATTAACAGTGTGAACCCAGAATCAAGCAGTCGGTGGCAGAGGTGAGAGAAGCATGACTATGACCGGTGGAGAGAGTGGTGCCTTCTGGTGTTTGGGGTGTGCTGTGCGTGTCTCCAGCTCAGTCCGGCAAGGATGTGTCGGGTCTGGATGTGGGAATTTCTGCCCTCCGTGTTCGTGGGAAGCGGTGTGTATGTGGGGTGTGTGTGTGCTAAATCCCAAGGGGTTTGAGGTGTTTGTCAGAGGAAATTCTTAAAAGCTTTGCCTGAGAACTGTGACCTGTAAACTGCAGGACTGGAGCAAGTAGAGCCACTTGAATGGGTCAGCATGAAGAATTGGGATGGAGAAAGAAATTTTAATAGGTTTTTCCTATAAATGTAAAGGATAAGTGGTAGTTACTTAATATGTATTCAAGCACACTGGCAAGGGTTTGTTTGGGTCTTCTTAAGAAGGGAGGTGCTTTAGTAAATACGTGTATGACTGTCCTAATACAACTTCAGTAATGGAAGTTGCAGTCAAAAGTCTACACCTGAAAGTGAGGTTGCTTGTTTATCCTCCACCCTGAGTTAATATGTGGTGAGATTTGTTGCCTGTAAGGCTGTAAGAAAATCCCAAAGAGTTAACTGGAGGAACTAAATGCTACATTGCAGTAATTTCTGAAAATGGAATAAAGAATAAAACTGCTTCAGTTGTATTTTTCTGTTTTGTTCTCAACTTTGTGGCAAGAAGAAAACAGGAGGGTTTTTTTATGGAAGAAATGAGGCAACAAAAGAGATTATTTTTTGGAAACCTGTTAATTAGCCTTGTGAAAAATGCAAGTAACAGGGAAATCTTTCAGACCATGGGAAAAGAAAGTTTCTCAAATGTTTCAGATCTTGACGCAGTATAGATTAAATCCTGATTATGAAATTTGTGAGAGTCATCATTTTCACATGGAAAACCCCAGCTCTTCAGTCATGAATTTAGGCTGGGACTGCCCTTGTGCAAATTTGTGCAAATCAGAGCCTAAATCTTCCTGGGAGACTCATCTTTGGAAGCTCTGTTTGGATTCTGTGACCCAAAAGGCAAAGTAGCACCTCTTGTGGCCTAAAGCTTCATCGTGTAACTATTTTTAATACCTTTAATTTTTTTTTCAAGACAATGAAGAGGTACAGGTTTATGGGGAGAAAACATTTAATTACTTAAAACAGAATAATGCCTAAGGTGACATTAACACCAGTACTGCAATTATATGGTGACCTACCCAAGCGCAGCCCCTGCCAAGACTTCTATGACTCTGCCAACAGTTTTGATTAGACAGCAAGATAACAAAAAACTCCTCTAATGTTGCACTTTGCCAAACATTACTGTTATACAATACTGTACAGAATTTTTCCAGAATGACACAAATGAAGCAGTTCAGAACAAAGAAATATCTATCATTGTCATGCTTGTTTCGGATAAAGGAGGTAGCTAATGTTAACATCAGTTTTAACCATGTCCTTTTTTTAGTGGTTGTAACAGCACTGTCTGCACTTATTTCCTTGGGCAGTTTTAGCCCTTTGGAAAGTAAGAGAGCTGTTCTTAAAATAGAGATAGAAGAACCTCTTTTCCTAATGGCTATAATTAAGTTTAATGTTTATTTTTTTAGCTACAGTGCATTTCTAGTGGATGTGAAGGTAACTTCCTGTTTATTTAGGCATTACTTAAATATTACTAATGCTACTTATTAATTGCATACTCATTTTATTGTACAAGTGCTGAATAGGCTAAACTTTAAAGGGAAGTGACACAAGGAAACTAGATTTCTGTGCTGGTCAAGAATTAGGAGTGTTGTTATTTGTTTACCAACAGTTTCAGAAAACTTAAAAGTAGCATTTAAATTAAGTCTGTGTTTGTTTTATCTTAAACTTGTACCCTCAGAACCTGTACTAGAGCAAGCAAAAGGAATTGCAGTCTGAAATTTTGCATGCAAGACTTAAAAGCAAGTAGTGTTTAAGGGCAAGCTGAGACTTATTTTTTTAACTTATATGCTGCATGTGGTGCTTCAGCTATAAAGATTGGATGAAAATCCTGCTTTCCTTTACTCACGTGTCAGTTCTCTGCTGCTGTGGGTGTGGATGTTTGTGTCAAGGTATGGACAGAAGTTTGTTTCAAAAATAGGAAAGATGACCTTGAACAGCAGAAAATGAGGAGGGTCACAGAGGCAGGTGCAGCACCTGAGCCTATTTTAAACCCTTCCTGAGTAGATTTTGGTAGGAGGAGTCTCTTCGAGTTTCGTAGCTTTTGCAACCTTATGCTTGTGTTTTCACAATTATTTTTAGACTCATGTAGGAACTTCCTTTCTTATTGCAATAGTCCAAATACAGCCTTTTTTCTGAGTAATGTTGTTTTTGTGCATTCTCTGTTTTGTATTTGTGTGCGTGTTACTGCAGTTTTTACCACTGTTCTGAATCAGGAGCAGGGTATTTTGGTCAGTTTGGAATACACTTAGTCTTTAAATCAGCTGGAGTTAATCACACTTAATTGCTGCTCTTGTCTGAAAATAACGCTTTTTTTGTTTCTTCAAGACTTAGTTTAGAAAATGAAGACGTAAAAGAGTAAAATCTTAGAGTTAGTACAGATTTATTTTTACCTTCCACCTGAAACAAAAACATTGCTAAATAGTACTACATTTTCCAGGCTTATTACAAAGAAAAATATAACCTGTGTTCGAAAAAACACAACTTAATCTTTCAGTTTAAGAAAATAATGTTAGACTTTGTAAATAGTCTTTTCTTCTATCTGCAGAATTTCTGTTAAGCACAGCAGTAGAAGAATTTAAGATGTGCATTGAAGAGAAACCTTGGCCATACCTCAGTATAGACTTTATAGCCCTGTTCATGGTGGAGTTGATCTGAAATGCTTGTGAAATTATTGGATGTAATCACGAGTCGTCACGATTGTTGTTAGTGCAAATTTGTAACTAAGATAAAGACAAAATGCACATTGCATTCAGTCTGTGTAGATTTAGGGCTGTTTAATATCACAGGCTTTAGTGGTTTAGAACATCAATTAATATAGTGAACAACTGTAGGTTTTCTGTATTTATACATTTTTTATATTGCTCACAGTTTGGAATCTGGTTGCAAACCATTTCTGTGTTACCAAATAGATACAAAGGGTCCAAAGAAATATGAACTTAAAAACTAACATATGTTGCATTTGGAAGTCAAACTTAGCCCACATACATATTTTATTTTTAAAGATGTTTTTCAGGTCATGAAATTATTAATTACATGCATTTGTTCTGCTGTAGTCTCAAGAAAAGTTGTGTTATGCCTGTTCTTGCAGGTTTATGGGTAGCATAAGATGTAAAAGTAATGAGTTTTGAAGGAAATCTATAGGTTTGTGTATATTCGATGTCACTGCACATGAGGGGTTGTACTAACAGTTGGGATTGTTTTCCATATTTTACAATTCTGTGATTTATTGTAAGGCACACAGATGCAGAGATACGTGTGCATCTCCATCTCTGGCAATGTGTGTGTGCTAAAAACACTGAATATAGTTTAACAAATTATAATCTCTGAAGGAGCACAAGGTGGAATGGTGAGGTTTATATGAATTTACCTTTATCTCTGCAGTGGCATAACTGGCATGGTTGTTATAAAGTTAAAACCTGGTTGGGATGGGGTTTGTTCTGGAGTCCTTTGCTGGCTCTGAACTTTGTTTGTGTGCACTGGAGTGCTTGACTAACAGACCCGAACCTCACACATCACATGCCTGCCCACTTTGAGTCACAGTTCAAAACTGGAAGTATAACTTCTTGAAAACACACTGCAATCAGCTAAATCAGCATTATGGAGCTTAGTTACTGAGCAGCTAAGTTTGCATGTTTGTTCTGTTTTCTTTCTTCTGGCACATAGTGGGGGTTTTCTTCTCCTAATCCCATATTTAATGAATATACGTGGACTATGAGTTAGATGAATGTATTTATAGGCAAATTAATGTGAATATATATCCAGACACTATATTAATACTATATATTAATATATTATATGAGTATATATATTTAAACAAAGATAGAACCATTTCAGTAGGACAAATTCTGTCCTGTCCTGGTTTAGGAGCAAACTGTTCTGAATGGCATTGTGAAGACAGGAAATTCTGGGATTTAGACCTCGCAGTGTCAGATGGCAAGAGGAAGAGACACATATCTTTGATGTCATCTCTCTGTACTAGAGGGCTTATTGTGTGGTGTTTGATTTTCAGTGTCTGGAGGAACTTGCTCATGCAGAGTTTTGATAATTGGCTTTCAGTCTATACATACATTGATTGCTTGTTCTTTGAGAGGAAAAGGATAATAATGACTCTAATCCCAGAGAGTTCACAGAGGTTTCTGATAGATATTTTGAACTTAAGCTCAGCAGAAAAAAATTATAGAGGTAATATAGGTTAATTAAAGAATAAATTTTACATATATTCACAGGACTTTATAAAGGATATTCCAACAAGCAAAGTATTATGCTATTTGTTGATGAAATGCTTGAGAAGTTAAAGATTGTCTTGCATAGTTGCTTGTATAGTAAGAAACTAGATTTTAGAAGTGTAATCAGAAAGAACTCTGCTGGTAGCTAAATTTTAAGGGATTTATTGTAACAGTTACAATGTTCACTTGGCTTAAAACTCCTTCTGCAGTGAGTTTGTTTGACAGTAAGAAGATATTCCTGCAGTGTCTTTCTCATTTTCCTTTCTTTTTCTTGTGCTACTAAGCTGGTAGCTGTCCCAGTATGAGTGAACATCTGTGTGGTTGTGTGAGCTCCATCATGCACCCAATCCAACCCACCAAAAAAACCCAAAACCTTAAACTAGTTTAGTTTTAGGCTTGCAGTGTGGCCCCAGAGGTGATGGGTTGTGCTGAGAAGCTCGGGGTAAATAAGACTCATATCATGAAACCAAAATCTTATTCAAATAAGACTCCAGATGATGTTTGAAACAATATTCCTGTTATAGCAGCATATTGTGTATATGTGTAACGGCATTTATAGAAAGGCTACTGAAAACCTCCAAACAGGGTTTATACTGTGCCATTTTATTTAGAGAAAATGCATTAGTTAATTTAATGGAATAATTGGCATGGGCAGAAAGTGTTCAGGGCCCTTGTGTTGGCCCAAACATATTTTAAAAAGCCTATTTATTTTAAAATGATACAATTTTGCTGAATTTCAGGTTCACAGAACAATGACACTAAAAGACAGTTTCTTCTAGAACGGCTGCTGGATGCAGTTAAACAGGTGAGAAATCCAGTACACATTTCTGGAGTATCCTTACTCACTGTTGTCAGAATTGGCAGGAACTGTCTTTGCTCTTTTCCCTCTCTTTAACAAGGAGGAGGAATAAGAAGAAAAGGAGACAGAGAAGAAATCTTGGCTTTCACGTAGTACTAGAGATTTTTTTTTCTGCTGACAAACAACTATTGTGGAGTATTTGTTTAAAATTCTTGTTCTTGACAGATTATACTTGTAATATATATACTTTAAGTGTATATAATACTATAGAATATATGCTGTGAATATATGTATTTGTAATACTGATAAGACTGAACTAAAATGCAGTGCACTCTAAAGGCTAACTTGGTGAACATTTTAGAGTAAAAGCTTTTTTCTTTGCTCTAGTTTTTTAGTCAATGGTTAAAATACATGTAAAGATATGATTGATTTATTTATGTCTGTATTTTGCATCAACATGAAGTTCAGCAAGTAGAATTTCATACACTGGATTCAATTTAGGAGAGCTTGTGAGGGAAAAGAATGCCTCAGGAGTAACCCAATGATATGTTTTATAAAGAACAATTCTTCTGTAATTGTAGTACTGGGCTGAATAGGAGCAACGTTTAGTTTTGTGGGTGTACATTTAAAACCCAAAAGTAGTAATTTCCACTCAATTTTCAATTTACTGAAGGACCTGCAGGTGTGTTGCTCTGACTAGCAAGGATATATTTGATCTGCAAGATAGCCCATTAGTGGCACATGATGCTGAAGGGCACTTTTTGGTTGCAGGCTGTATTTGTCAACACTTCATTTTGTGCTGCTTCCTTTTTTTTTGTCATGACTGTGCTTCTTATATGGAAGAAGTTCAGAAAATTGAATTTGTCTAGTGTAACAAAAATTTCGTAAAACTTCTTAAACTCTTTTTTCTTGCAGTGTCAAATACGATTTGGAGGAAGAAAAGAAATTGCTTCAGACTCTGATAGCAGGTAAAAGACTCTTAAGAAACCTTTAACATGCTTAGATTATGCATCATAATGACATAAAACAGATGGCACAGAATACTTGACACACTGAGAAAATTATATTACATGAAATGTAGGTGTTCTGAAGCTGAAATAACATGGCCAACAACCACTCCAGCAGGTGAAGATGATTTCTCAAATTGACTGCCAATTCTGAATGTAATCTGTGCCCCAGCTTTCCATCATCATGGTGAGGCTGTGGGTATAAGTAGATTATCCTGCCTGCAAATAATGAGATTAGTGCATAGAAGGGTCTTTCACTGCTTATAAGATAATGCTTCATTTTACATTCCCTATTCAGAGACCTGGAATCACCTTGCTTTACAGAAATGTGGTTGATTGTTCTTTTCCCATGATTTCTTTAAAACTTCTGTTGCAGAGTGACCTGTTTGTGTGCTCAGTTTGAGGCTGTGTTGCAGCACGGCCTGAGGAGGAGCCGAGGACTGGCATTAACAGCAGCAGCAATCAAACAGGCAGCAGGTTTCTCCAGTAAAACTGAAACAGGTAAGTTGTTAATTGCAACTATTTTAAGTAGTTGATGTGTTCAATCAGCTGGTGTAATTTCTAATAGAAGTTTTAAGCACTGCTGGAACTGCAGACTGGAGGTAGGATCTTCATACTTGGCAGTGTGTTGTAGCAATGCAGTGACTGTTGCTTCATACCAAGTGTCTCTAGAAATGTTGGTGTAAGGAAACTTTCTAACAGTTACATCATGTGTAGTGCCAAGTTTATTTTGAATTCTGGTAGGGATAAATGTTGTGTAATTGTGCTGTTAAGTTTTTACAACATTTTCATTCTTAACCTTGTCTTACTCCACTCTTCAACTGACATATTCTGTTGCATCAGATGTGTTTACCTTCTAAGTACTGGTGTAATTTTAGAAAGAAAACTTAAATTACTTGTGTTGTTTGAGTCAGTTTTTATTGCTTTCTTCACATTTAAAGAAAAGATTCCTCTATTTTTCTCTTCATCTTGATGTTTCTCTTGGTTTTTTAATCAGAACTATATGAAGATATTAATTCGTTTTGTTGTGAAGTTTGACTTCCAGTATTTTTTTTCTTAATCCGTGTACACATAATGGAAAGAGTTTCTTTTTGACTTTTGAAACTCTGTCAAGTGTAACGTGTTTCACTTGTAAACTCATACAGTGGAGTTTGGGGTTTTGGTGGAGTTTTTTAAAATATATTCAGTGGTGCTAGAATTGTTAATACACTTCAATCTGCAGTTATAACTTCTAGTGACACCAGACAACTACATATAATGGATATTACATTAACACAAACTGTGTAGTTTGATATAATGATGTTTTAAAATTGCTTCAGCAACGGACTCATTTCCTGTGGCAGATGGGGTGAAATGTTGAGCCTTGTGTGCTCACTTTCCTGCTAATGGGTTAGAGCCTCCAGGCTGGGCTTTTTTGGGAGCTAAAGTAGCTATGCACCTATGCTACGGTGAGTTTTCCATGTTTGCCTCCTTTACTTAGTAATGGGCAAGAACCCGACCCTTTGCTGGCACTAAATGAACAAGTGAGACAAATTCAGCTGTTTACAACGTCCTTATAGATTTTTCAGCTCTTCAGTGGGCTTTTTTCCCCCCTTGTGTGTTTTTGTAATTGGGGATTGGATATTCTGTGGTCTCTTTCAGACTCTGGGTGGTTTCCATCTCTTCAGTAGGTTGTGGTTTGGTTATCTGCAACTGTGAATCTTGTGCTTTGGTGCAGAGAATGTTCTTCCCTGTTCCGTTCTCTCTGATTTCTTATGATTCTTATGCTATCTCTCCTGTCTGTTGTTAAGGTCGAGGGTGTCTGAAATTTTTGATCCTGTGTTAGTGGTCAGAAATACAAAGGTCCGTCTCTGATTCTTGGGAGTTCAGTACCAATTTAGCTACATGTTGGTGTGTTTGTGTGTGTTACTTGGGCGCTTGGCAGTGAGGGGATGTGGAGGAAGAGGAGAAAGTCAGGAAGGTTATTTATGGTTGGGGAGTGGAAGGAGGAAGAAAACATCATTTGTAGTCCTGAGGAAGCTTTAGCCATGTGTGGAAGGTCAAGAACAAAACCATGGCTGCTTTGCAGCAAACAGAATGCTGTACAATGACTTTTTTTTTTTTTAAATGGAATTGCAGGCTCCCTTGCATTTATCTTTACAAATTACTGTGTTGGGTTGGTATGGTTTTGCCTTTTTTTTTTTTTTTTTTTCCCCCTGAAAGCAGTTGCAAAGTATTTCTATATTTATATCACTTTCAGGCACATGAGTCTGGTATGATTTATATCCTGTTCTGTCTAGCATAATCACAGGTGTCATCTTTTTTTTTTAGCACAGTGGGATACTGCTGTTTAGGCTATAAATTCAGGCTTTGACAATTGAAAAATAAAATTGTTCCGCAGTGGCTTCTGTTTGAAATTCACAGATCCTTCATGACAAACTGTACTTAATGATTGCCAAACTATACCATATTGTAATAATTTTAAGTTTTACACATGAATGATCTGATTTTTTTTTTGTTGTTGTTTTCACCCTGAGAAAATGGTAAGAGGTAAATTGTGATGAATATGTCCCTAAAATATGTTCTTACTCTGTTAGAAAGAGGAATATGCAAAATACTAGGTCTTTTGTTTTACATTTACAATTACTGATGTAGGTTTTTTGTTACCTCCAACTGAGAAATTTGAGGCAAGAAACCCTTTTATCAGTATTTGGTGACAGGGCAAGCAAAGTGTTTTATTGTAAAGAGGTATTGTTGCCTTTTAAATGCAACACTTTTGTTTTCTAAAGTAACATGAATGTGTCATTTGCACCTCTGCAAATTCTGGAGTTCCTGTTCCTTTGGATGTAGCTCCTACCATTTCACAATCAGCAGTAAGATAGAGGTCCAAAGAATTTGTCTTTCTTTGCATAAGATATTCTCAGTTGAACACCCAAACCTGTCCTATGGATGAAATAGTGGCTTAAATGTGCTTTTAAATGTGATTTCTTTGTAAAAGCGTAAGATTGAATCCTTTAACTTGTACGTTTGGCTTTTCAATGAAGTGAAAAGTTCTAAGTGCTTAAATAGCTCAAGTCCAGTAGAAATAACTAACCTATTTAACAGGAGGGTTGCTCCAAGATGGTAAATGATTCACCTTTGTTCAAAGTATAGGTAACAAAGCTACCTGATTGTTTTACAAATTTGCATGTAAATACATTCGGGCATGAGCTTAGCAGTTTTCTTGGTTGGATTATGATTAATAATGACTTATTCAATTGCAGAGCCGGTGTTCTGGTACTATGTGAAGGAGGTCCTGAACAGGCACGAGCTGCAGCGCTTCTACTCCCTGAGGGCCATCAGCACGGACATCGGCAGGGGCCGGGCCTGGCTGCGCTGTGCGCTGAATGAGCATTCCCTGGAGAGATACGTTCACATGCTGCTGGCAGACAAGAATCGACTCAGGTGCTGCATCTGCTATCTTTGTAATGCAGGAATTGAATTGACAAATAAAGTACTGAGAGTAAAAAACCCCAGACAACCGACCAAAGGCCACGGCTGTAATAACACAGCCTATTCACTGCTGTGCTGGTCAAACCACTCCACCTGATTCTTTGGTTCGTTTTTAAAATTTTTGGCAGCCATTAAGATAGTGACTTGTGCCTGTATCAGCATGTGACCTGAAACTGGCCTCATTCTACCTCATGAGAATCTGTTTCTATCCTCATCTTCATTTCAGTCCTCTTTCCTACCTCCCTTCCTTGTTCTTTCAGCAGTTTTCCTCACTGAGACATTGGTCCCATGCTTTGAGGTGCCCCTCTCCTTCCATTAAGATAGTACACAATTGCAGCCTTGAGCTGACCAATTCCTGTTGGGCTGACCAATTATTGCCTGTTGCCTTTTGGGGATGCTCATCCTGTAATTGCGAACTCTAGCAGTGAAATAGTGGGGAGCTGCTACTGCAGAGCCCTTGGAAGTGGTTTGGTAACAGTTTGTGAACCTTCTGTTACAGTTACTGGGGATAACTTGCATTGTGAAATCCTGAAGTGCTTTGGATGTGCAAAATGCACTTAAGTTCACAAACTGAGTCCTACCTTTCTCCTCACGCATCTTCAGCTCCTGTTCCCTTTGAAAATTTGGGGTGTTCTCCTTGTTTGATCAGTAACTGTTGGCTTGATCAAGTCCAGTGGATCCAGCAGAGAAAGCCATTCTTTCCATTTGCATTGATTAATGGATGTACTGGATAAGGTTATTGCCAGAATTGAGCTTGTTAATTCCTCCTTTTAATTTTTATTTTTTTCCAGTCTTCTGTAGCTTGCTTCCAATATAAAATCAAATGAAGACAAATGAAACAATAAGGAAAATCTGAAAACCATTGTGAGGAAATTAGTGACTTGAATTGCTATGTCACTAATTACTCTCATGCTTTTAGCAATACTTGCTCAGTATCAGGATTGTCAGCACACTCTGCAATGTAATACTATTTCTAAAAAGGTTTATTCCAGAATCCATTGGTGTAATCTTACTTGTTTTTTTGAGTTTTCTTGTTTTTCAGAAGTGGAATGTACATTAATGTAGGACTACCTATTCTTTTTTCCTTTCAAATTCTAGTGTCTTCTATGAAGACTGGTCTTTTATGATGGATGAAGAACGTTCCAGTATGATCCCTACGATGGCAGCTGGTAAAACTTCCTGTTAAATATTGGAAAACTGTTGCCTTTTGGAATGTTACGTCTATTTCTGGTTGTGAGGAGCTTCCCTAACACACTGCTTATGTGGAGAATGTGTGTCAGAGGCACAGTCAGGGTGAATTGGCAAGGTATTATGCCAGTTTATCCTGTGAATTGATGGGTTGTGAAAATGTGGATCTGGCCTTCCTACAGTTCAAAAGTCTTTCACATAAATGATTTTACTCTTCAGCAGTCAAGGCTAACTTAAAACTGGTGCAATTCAGAGAAAACAAAGTGGCCTATTCCTAACTAGAAAAGGGTAATGATAGAATTTTATAGTAAGATCCAAGTTATAGGCAAATACAGGTAAGAAGAGTAGCAGCAAGGAGTGATAACAAATAATTTCCTTTTCTAGGGTTTGACCACAGAAGTGTTGTATTATTACCTCTTATACCCATTTTCTCAGATACATGGTCATGTTTGTTCTACAAAACAAAGTACATGGGAGTTTTTGGTAATAGAGTATAGGAACTCAACACGTACTGAAGTTGCAGTGAAAGGGGTTTAAATAAAAGGTTATAAAAAAATGAGTTCTCAGTACTTATTGCTTATTTAATGTGCAGCTGAACAGCCATCAAGATGAATTCAGAGCTGATTGCATCAACTTGAACATAATCTAAAAAAGAATGAATGGTACATGAAAGAATAAGAATTCATGCATGGAGAACTGTGGGAAATTTTGGGGAAAAATATTTTACATGTCATAGCTTTGTTAATCCTCAGGTTCTGTGTTTTCAGCTTTTGTGTGAAGTATAAAGTGTTAACCATGAAGTGCATTTTTGGTCTCTTTTTTCCCCCTTTCCTTTATTTGAAGGTCTGAACTCCATCCTTTTTGCGATCAACATCGATAACAAGGATTTAAATGGGCAGAGCAAGTGCACACCCACAGTGTCTGATCTGTTAAAGGAATCCACCCAGAACGTAACCTCACTGCTGAAGGAATCCACGCAGGGGGTGAGCAGCCTCCTCCGCGAGATCACCGCGTCCTCTGCTGTGTCCATCCTCATCAAAGCTGACCCCGACACCGACCCCCTGCCCGTTCTGCCCCGCAGTGTAAATGCTGGTAAGCTCTGAGGCGGTGCTGGGGTCAGTCAGAAACTGAGCAAATATTCGGGTGTGTTTACGTGACTTTTTCATTTCCACTTAATGCAGTATTATAGGGCAGAAATCTTAAAAATAAGTGTGTGCTGAACAAACAAACTAGTTGAGTGTGTAATAAGAAGTATGGAATGTTTTAGAAATGCTAGTGTGAATGCTGGATGGTAACTGTATTTCAGCTTTCTTGCATCACTGTGAGAGGGATGCTAATGTGTGTTATTGGTAGGGCTTTGCTTGTGGCCTGAATTTCAGTTTCTTATAAGATTATGCCTTGCAGTTCATGATGTAATGATCTTTCACTTTTAATTTATTTTCTTTTGGCACTTTTATCAGTCAGAAATACCCTACTGTATATCTGCTATTATATATCAGATACAAATCTAAGCTTGTAATCTTCTTCAAGTAGGACCCCTATTTACAGTCTGAGTTCCTATGCAAAATGACATCCCTGAACCAAAATGAAAATTTAGTCATATGCCCTTTTTACCTTTAAATGTCTTAGTGTTACAACCAGCTCGTAGGATGTCAGTTATAATTTGAAAATAGTCAAGCAAAATATGATTTTCATTACATGTTTTCAGTCCCCAAAATTGCAAAGGAATATTTTATTATCTTTGTTTCTGGAAATTGAGCTGAAAGACTGTTTGGCTTTGTAAAGGTACAAAACTGCAGGAAGATTTATGTGCTTTTCAATTAAGAAATGAGGTTGGAATTTAGGAATTAAATTGTTTTGCTTTATGAGAAAAAGGCAAAACCCCCACATGTGAAAGCTGTCTGCTAGGAATGGAACTGGAGATAAAATCTGGTTTTTATTGGCATTTAAAATAGACATTGTCTCAAAACATGGTTTTTGAAGCAAACTTGTGGTAAAGCTTTTGTTGTTTAGCACTTAAATGAGATTAAAACTGTAGGTGATACTTGACTTGGGATAACTTTGTTAGTACAGAATAGGCTTGCAAGATGGAATGAGAGAATAATTGACCATATGCTGCATCTGACTCTACAACATAATGTACATTATGTGTACAGTACATAAAATGGACAACTTACAGTAAAATGTCACTTTAAAGAAATGAGTTTGTTCAAATGCCATTACATGTGGGATGTTAGAGCAAGTCAGATGTTTTCATTAAAGTCTGTGTTCTTTGTTGGAATTCTGTTTGCAAGCAGAATGGGTTTTAACATCCTCTTGAAAGTATGGTTTGTGGATATAGAACAGCTGGATTTGAATTTAACAAAACAGTTTAGTCCCAATGTGAGTTGTCTTGGTGAGTAATTTCCGATATTTCTTAGAGTGCTTCAGCTTCATGTGCACATAGGATTTAGTGAGAATAGGTAATAATTTAAAAATAGGTGCCATCAGTGAATAGATCTGATGTAATCCAAGGATTTCAGTGTATTTCTAGATCAAGAGCTAGGGGGGAGGGAGCAAGTTTAGTGTCTTTTTCTGAGAACTGCCTGCTCAATTTTTATAGAGTAGAGACAAACCTACCTCTGTTTGATTGCAAGTTGTGGATTTTGTTTGTGTTGTGAGTTTGTTCTTCTTAATTTTTTCTCTCTGGAAGTGTCTCATGTTTTCTCTGGTGGGTAGACATGCTGTGCAATACAAACTAGAATATACACTAGATGTGTTTCATGGGAGAAAGGGACAGGAAGGCTAACTTTTAATCTTAAATTTAATTCTGTGAGTTTGTTCAACTTTTTTTTTTTTCCGGTTCCAATTGAATAATGTTATGAATGCACCTCCAAAATGTCTTCTAAAATCTGAATTATTTAAGGCAGGTAAAATGAAGATGGTAATTAAAGATTTAAAAGCTCACGTGTATGGAAAGATAATGAATGCCTTGTAGATATAAGTGACTTTTTCTTTACTGAAGTCATTTAGTACATGAGCTCTTTTAAGGAAAAAAACAGATTTACCATATTGTTTCTCTCTTCTAAACTATGTAAAACTTTGTATTGCTACTAGATTTGAGATATAAAAAAGATCGAAAAAAGAAGAAGAGAGTGACCAATATTATCTCATTTGATGAAGAGGAAGATGAGCAAAATTTGGGGGATTCCACAAAGACTCTGATTACAGGAGAAAGTTCAGAGGAGAGTGTAGACAGATCCTCAGTCCTTGCATTATCCTCCTCTGAAAGCACTCTTGGAAAAAATGTGAATGGGGATGAAAGTAACAGTTCATGGAAGAGCAATTCATTCCCTCATTCCCTCATGAACGGAGAGTACGAGTACCAGAAACTGGATGTGAAGAGCATTGATGATGAAGATGCAGATGAGGATGAGCTGTATGGAAAAACATTAGGAAATAAAGGCACAGAAGGTGAAACTGAAGCTTCTGAAAAGTAAGTAACGGGGCAGGAGCTAGTGGGAAACTTGCCATGCTTCCCATCCACCCTTCCCTGTTCTTCGTAGGCACTGGCAAATTGATGTGTTGAACTGAACTGTAGGGTTTCTCTCTTTTTTTTTTTTTTTTTTTCTTTCCCTCTATTCCTCCTCCTCAACTTTTTTTTCCTTTTTTTTTTTTTTTTTTGTTTTTCCTTGTTTTTTCTTGATCATTGTTTAAACCATTTGGGCCACTGCATTGATGATATTTTGCTTTTAAGTTCCACTGAAATCCCAAATTTTGAGACTGAGTTTTCTCATTCTCCTTGAAGTGCTCAGTTGTTTAAATATTTGCATGATATAGCCTGGCTATAATTCTGGCCTACTCGATGTTTCCTTATTCTTAATATGATATCAATTCTATTTTGCCTTCACAGTAAAAACCTCTATTTTAAACAGAGTAAACCTGTTTACATTAGAGTAGATAGTTAAAAACCGAGAGAGAATGAATAATTTTAAATACTAATATGCTTGCTTTATTTCTGACAGAGAAATTAGTTTGGAGAAAAAGGCAAACACTGTTTGTGTCATCTACTTTGGAATGTCTGATCTTTAATGGATTAATGCATTGGCCAGGATGAAGTAAAGGCAGATTGAAGTAAAGATTTTTCTTGAAGTAGCATCTCTGAAGGAAATGTGTGCATTATGAACGTGGATATTGACTGTGTAAAGAGATTGTTTTGCTTGCTTGTTTGTTTTAAATCTAGGCCTCATGAAATAGGCACTTGCAGTTCTCAGATATGCAGTTGGACTCCTCTGCAGGTCCTCAATGATGACTCAGATGTGCTGTTTCCTGTCAGTGCTGTTGGCTCTTACTCCCAAACAGGTGGGTATTTAATGCACAGAATTCCAGCAACCTTTATAGTGGAATTTCTAACATGGGACAATGGCAAGAAATAAGGGGATTGTAAGGACATAGAACATACTGCATATCTGGAATAGAAAGGAATTAACATTCATTCTAGTTCTGAATCAGAGTTCTTCATTTGAGTTGAGGAGGGTTTATCAGTGTCAAAATAAACCAGAGTTTTGTTGGGATTAAACTGTGGTCTTGTATGGTATTTTATTAAAACTTCAGGTATACTCATTTTTTTAAGTGACCATTAAAGAACTTCTCAGTGGCATTAAATAATGTTTTAATAGTAAAATGTTTAATATTTTTTGGATATACATTTTGTGAGCCAAGAGTTTAAGTGGATTGTTAATTGAAGGCCTGTGAGAAAGTGTAATTCAGCTCTGTAAGTTCAGTGATTAAAAATGGGAATCATAAAATAAGGCTGTACTGCCCTCTGCTGTATTTTAAAACATGTACCTTATAAGAAATGGCTGTGGTTCAAAATTAAAAATAGAAAGTACATTTTCATTTTTTATTTGTGCTGCTACATTTTTCAGTTTATGAAGGAATGGATTTAGAAAACATCGTGTAGTTTGTGGCATCGTGTTCTCTTAAGCTGTATGCAGAAACTGCTAGAGAACATCCCCAGGTTGAAATGTGGGATGCAATTGTCCCTGTTTCTGGGCGGTGATGGTGTGTGGAATGGGAACTCACAGTTGTTGTGAGAGTTGTAGATGTCTCGAGGCATCAGGACTGTGAGCTGGGCTTTGTAGCTGAAATCAAAAGTCAGAGTCTAAGCCAAGATGCAGACAGATGTCCAAAGAGGACAATAACTGTAACAGAGGCTTACTTTTATTAAGAAGATACCAGAGACCCTTGTTTGATCTTGCTTCATCTCAGAACTGGTTTGAATACAATGCTCAGACTACTAGAGATGATCAACAGGCCCATTCAGATCCCTCTGGCACAGTACACAGATATTTTCAGTTCTCCTTCTGTCTCTCTTTGTGATAAGCCCTGTGGTCCACTCTGGAGTGATCCAACACTGGGCTGATGAAAGGGATCTTCATCACTTGCAGGAAAGAGCAGCCCAGGCCCTGCTGTGTGTGCTGTGCTGATTTCAGCTGTCCCTGAGCCCTCGTGGGCAGTGTGGGGCTGCACCAAATGGCCCATCCTGCAACCCAAATGGCACCCAGGGAGGGAGGGGGATGCGCACGGATACATCACCCTCCTCTCAGCCACACTGACAGGTTGATGAGATTGAAAGCTGCCTTGGGCAGTTGTTTGCTTGACTTTGGGAGTTACACTTGTGCTGCAGATGAATGATATCAGAAGGAATGTGCTTTAGCTTATTCTGAGGGCACTTCAGCCCAGTAACTGGCAGGCTCATTATTGTTATAACACCATTTTTGTTAAAACAATCTTAAACAGCTCTTGTAAAATACATAGTTTAACCCAATACTTTGGTTTATAGGTCTTAATACAGATAAATAACAAGACACATATATTTGGAATAGATTACAGCTTAGTCTGTCGTGTTGTGTGGTAATATCTGTGTTTGCAGTTTGAGTCTGTTGCAGTGCTGCAGGGATGTGTCAGGGCATATCATATCTCCATGTAACAAGGAATGAGAAAGCCTCAGTCAAAATTCAGTTGCTTGGAACAAAAATGGAGTATGCATTTTAGGAACTGAGCTTCAGTAAACTCTACAACTTAAAAAATTAATTTTCTCCTCCGTAGTCTTTCTGACATAACTAATTCCTATTAACTGGTTTCCTAGAATTCCCACTTTTAATCTGTGCTATTTTAGGTCATGATTTTAGGATTGCCTTATGGTAACTTTGTAACCCTTACATAGTGAGATGCAGAAAATATCAATAAAATATGATTTTTGTTTCTTTCCACATGAACTTCCTTAATGACAGGCCCAGTGATGTGTATCTCTTGATCCCGACAGTTGTGGGTCTGTGGACAGATGCGTATTATTCATGCTTTTTAGACAATGGCTCATCTGTCTGATTCCTGATGTTTACTCCATAGACACAAGGAGCCAGAGAAGAGCCATGGTGCTCTGTTGGGAATACATAAAGGACTGGTGTCTTTGCAAGGTCTCATGTGCTGGGGACTAACCACAAATTCTTCTGTGAGTCCCAAACAGATTTGTAGTGAGTAGCAGATGCCATGTGGTGGTTGAAGTCCTGGGGCTTGCAAAAATAACATCAGTAAGAAGTCTCTTCATAGCTTTGCAACACTGTTAGTGTAAAATGTGCATATAAAATACCAGGTAGGAATTGTGCAATACTAATTTTTTGGATGATGGCTGTGTTCCTAAGGGACTTTACAATCCTGCTGGCATTCGGGGTGAATGTGCAAAAGCCAACTTTGGAGAAAGAATTTAAAGTGTTTCAATCTTTAGTAAAGATGAGTATTTCTATTTAAAAATGTAACTACCTTCCTTCTGCATTTGTTTATGTTTTATTTTTTTAAAGCACTGTAAACTGGAGAAAGCTAATGCTTGTGCATTCTACTTTAGATAATTTGGAGAATGGAGAGGGGCATGAACATGTTCATCCAGTAGAACTGGTTCCAAGAAGAGCTGATCTCCCTTACAGGTATGTGTCAAATATGTTTTCCTTAAAAAAACCCTTCACCCTGTAGCTGACAACTTATTATTGTTACTTAATGCAATCAGTACTGGAAAACCAACTCCTCATCTGGGTACTTGGGCAAATGTTTGGAAAGACAAATGCAAAAAACCTGCACTTCCCTTTTTGCCTGATTTCATATACTGAACCTCTCCTAATTATCTGGAAGAATTCACATTGTCATGTCAAATAACAGACAGGCTTGGCCTCCTGGTTTTGAAATGTTATTTTGATTTTTTTTTAATTTTATGTTTACTTTATTCTCCATGGCCTGCTAACTTGGAGGGTTTTTTTGTGTGTATTCTTAAATCAGGCTCACAGGAGATGCATTAAAGGATAGTTAAATTAAGTTATTAAATATGGGTGAATAGGATGACAGTTCTAGTTTCTGGAATGTTTTTTTTCTTAAGATTTGAGTTTAGGATTTTGTTTCCATTTATTGATTATGCTGTACTTTTATGACTAGAGTGGAAGTCAGTTCTCCAGCACAAGTGAATACTTTAAGCAGTATGTTGCCTTCAGCCACCGTGCCAGAATCCATGACAATTAGTAAGTACTACCTTGCTGTAACTGTAACTTTGAAAGACCTATAATTCTTTCTATTTTTATTTCAGTAGGATCTGTTTAGAGAGGCATAGAGCACTCCATTTCTGATGTGCTGGCCACATTAGAAAGAACTGCTCTAAAATGATTTTTGTATTGGCAGATCCCAGCTTAGGGTTCATTGCAACTGCTATGTCCTTATAGTAGATGTGGCCTCAGCAGTTAAATGAAAAATGATGATTTAATTTGATTAACATCTTTAAATGTGCAAACTCTGAAAACACTTATGGTTGGTTCCAATGTGGTCTTACTTATTTTTCCTGCTTTCATTAATGCTTAGTCAGAAAAAACAAAACAAACACAGAATTCTTTCTGTGTACACTCAGTCTGTGATTTTGATATAAAAATCTGTTCCAGACATAAATATGGGCTTTCATATGCAAAAGCTTTAGTTAAGATGAAGGTGGAGAACAGTTGTATTTTCAGTGGTATTCAGAGTAGAACTAGTCAGGATAAAGTAGCCTTTGCTGTAGAAATAGATTAATAGAAGCACAGGCAGTTTGTTTACCCCATCTTTAATCTATTTACTTGTCGAACAAAGATGTAGTTCCTAAACTGACTGTCCAAACATGTGAGCCAGTATGTGTTGATGTTCCTCACAGTACAGAATGTTCTGTAGCTGAACTGGCTTTGTTCCTAAAGCTCTTGAGTGTGTGTTTGTTTCTTCTTATAAATTTAAATATGTTCAAGTTTTAAATTATGACTTTTGGGAAGTTAGAAGTGACGCAGCCAAGATTCTTTACTGAAACTGAATCGTGAAATCAACAAAATGGGTGAACCCTTAAGATATTCTAATCTCACTTTTTAAAGTCATGTTCAGATGCTGTCTGTGTCAACCTGTGTTAAAGGAGGTGACTCTGCATTTTCACTGGGCAAGGTTCAGGCTCTGGCACTGGTCTGCTGGCTGAGCTTTCCAAAGCTAAACAATCCTTTTGCAAAGTACTCCATAAAGTGGAAAACCAGTCTGAGACATAACTGAAGGTCTCTAGATGGAGTTATTGTTGCTAGTTACTGTGATCCTTTGGTCATTAGGTGTTCTCTGCTGATGTTATTACTGCAATATCCTTTTGTTCTTACATTTTTATTTTTTCAGTCGCAGCCCTTCCATGGGAATGTTTGTGTCGTTCCTGCCCTCCACTGATTCTGTTGTTCCGGAGGTGTCAGGGACCAGCAGGGGCCGCAATTGGTCTCCTTCAGTTGCTCGGTTAGTTCCGAGGTGCAGGGGAGGCAGCTACAAAATAGAAAGAAAATCCTGAGATTTTCAACTCTTGATGCTTGGCAATTTGTAAATGAAATGGAGACACAGGATCAACAGAAGCATGCATGCTGTCATTAGTTTCCCGTTTCAGAGAAGGCGTTGGGGGAAGGAATTGGGGGAGGGAAGCATTTCAAAAACATCCACAAAGCTAATAGGACACTTAGTAAATAATCATAATTGTAATCAAAATTCAGATGAATATGCATTTCTAGTATTAGTCAATACCTTTATAATAGCTGATCCCAGCTACATTCAATAAAAATGCTTTTCCTCAAGTTTGTTGTTATTGGTCACAGATTCTTTGCACAGGAAGAATTTGGTGCCATGGCAAAGTCAGACACTGAGGCTCTTTTTCTCTATTGCAATTAGCAGAAGAATTATTAAATGGTGAGGCTTATAGCTTGGTTGCATAGCAACTGATTCTAACACATCAGGCAAGAAAAATGGAATGCAGTAGTGCAGTGAGAGATAGCTGTGAGGTCTCCAGTGACTGGATTTGTGTGCTTCTTACTTCTGGAGACAAAACCTGAAATGAATTTTTTTTAATTATATTCTTTTCCTGCTTCCTTTCCAACTTATTAGTATAGTACTAACCTTTCCTTACTTCTTTTGATATGCAGGCTAGAAAATTATGTTGTGAGAAACTGTAATTTAAAATTTCTGCTGTTTTGAATTATTTTCCTGGATTCATGTCCCATGCATTTGTAAGGTATAGGTTAACTCAACAGCACATACAGCCCAAAAATATTAATACCACTGAAGAGAAATCATAATCCATAGTTACTTTTGCTGTGAATGTGAGACATCATTTGAAAACTTGTCCTATTTTACAGATCATTGTGTCTTAGAACCAATTTTATTAAGATTTTTTCAGAAGTTTTATATATATGTATATATTATGTAATTTCCCAATTAAAAAAAAATTGGATTTGTCTTGTCATATTTGGATCACAAATGTCTTTGTCTGTTCCAAAGTGTTGCCATTGAAAGATTGTTTTCAGCATTGTTTTGGTGAAAAACAACCTCTCCTACCAGCACAAGTCTCCTCATTCTGTTTTTGCAGTGGAAAAAAAAGAAGTTCAAAAAATTTCATTTTAGAAGGATGCTACCTGTGTCCTTCTTTACAGGGTTCTTTTATTATACTGCTATTTTTAGTAAATAATTGGTAATTTAGTTTTTTCACTATCATTTTCTTCAGATTTTAAAATTGGGCTTGACCACAAAGGTTAGCAGAGGTTGCAGCTTTGTACATCATTGCATATTTTTTCATATATTCTTGAGAAAGCCCCCATTTTTTCACAATCACCGAAGAACTTCACTGAATAATCAAACCTGTAAGTCAATAGGGTGTCTGCTTTTGTACTTTCTGTGTCCTCTAAACAGCTTCTGACCTGTTCTGTCACCTGGGTGCCACTGGTCACTGACAGGTACTAAATTTTCGTGACTTCTTTGAAAGCACAGCTGTGGAAAGAAAATGTTTGTGTTTCATCAGTGAGAGCAAAGCTGCAGTTCATCTTACACACTTATTTTTGGTCAGGACCCTTCTGTGCAGTAGAAGGCCAGCACTGGATTGTCTAATTTGTTTCCTATTAAAATTTACCCTATGAATAGTGATGTGACAGGATAGTATTTACAAGATTCTTGAGCACTAAATAAAGACTCAACAATCAGTGTTCATGCAGGGAGCTTAGGGAGCATAAAACTCCTCATGTCTTTAAAGGTCAGACTTCTGATTTAAGATGTAAGTAGTCTGCTGCAAGTTTTGTTTGTCTCTGAAAATATCTGTGTAAATTTGCACTCAGGAAAATAAAAAAAACCCCTATCATTCCTGGAGACTGCTCCCAGCCCACCCTGCTAGTCTGTGTGCAGGATTGCAGAGGAGTTCTGCATGACCTTGTGTTCTCTGAGAGATGATTTCACTTACAGCTCATTCTTCATAACAGGTGATTGCAAATCATACTTATCCACTCTTGGGCTAAACAGCATAAGTTGTGAAACTTATGACTTTTCTGGAGGTTGCTGGAAAATTGACAGGTGTTTCTTAAAGCATTATGTATTTCATGCCCTGAAGGTGACCTTATAAAGAAAGACATAGTTTGGAATTACTGGTTTGCACATGGGAATCCTTTTTTCAAGAAGTTGTTTTCAAGCAGAAATATCTCCTAAGGTTACGTAATGTGAAAGACTTCACTGGTTTTCTTTTATCTGTTTTTACAGAACCCTGATTATCACTTCATTTTTAGATATGTTGGTGTTGAATGCTGATCCTTAATAACAGTAGTGTATCACTTTTTGTTAATGGTACTTTAGAGAACATAAATGTCATGTCAAGCACAAGGCAACTCCAAAGTAGGACATAAAGTCTAACATCAAACACGCTCATGAAGTAAGAATACTTGGCCATCCTCCCACTGTTTTATTAAAAAAAAAAAAAAAATAGAAGAGGGGGGAAAAAGATTGAGGTTGTGAAGTCCAGAAGTCAGAAAATGCCAAATTTATGGTTACTGCTACAACCCTGACTTTTTTTTTTTTCTTTAAATTTATTCCCTTTTCTAACCCACACAGTGTATGAGACATAAGTCTGCTGGAAAAATTAGGTTATGATCATACACTCATCTTGGAGGCAAGCATAGCATGCAGACAAAAGCTTATGAACTGTGGGTGCTCTGGCAGGTTTGAAGTGAACCTGCCTCAGTGTGTGACACTGGATTTACTTTGCATTCAGCTGCCTGGTGTGACATGCTGCTGAAATCTTTCAAGAAGTATAAGTGAAAGTAATAAATTGCAATTTTTTGAAAGTTTTAAATGTTATACCTGAATTAAATAGGATGGTGCCCTTTTAGTTCTATTCAGTTCCTTGTATCAAAAGATCATGAAATTAAAGTTTGTGACTCTTTCTTGGTAACTTTTTACTTACTTGATTACACCAATACTGTTTTACTCTTTTGTGCTTATTGTAGAAGGAGAGGCTAAAGAAGTGTTGATGATAAATTGTGTTTGTTTTGAGAAGTTATAGAAAATATGACTCCTTAACACTCATCACTTCAAGAAGAACCAACAGAAGTGTAACCATGGGGCAGTTTTGCTGCTTGGGTAGGCACAGGCTGGACCAGCCTCCTGGGAACTCTGGTCTCAGTGGCTTGTGTTGAGCTTTCCTCCACATCTCCACTGCTATCTGCAATTGAACTAAATTAGTATGGAATACTAAGTAGGAGGTGTGTTTTCCTTTGTGGTCTTAAATTAAGCATTGATTTATTTTCCTATATATGATAATGAAGTTTGGAGTTTCTGCTTTGTTGTGTCTCTATAGTGTTGTCAATTCTATAACTCTCAGAAAAATGAGGCAAATGGAAATAGAAAAGTATTTTAACATCTTGTATTTCAAGAGTCTTTTTTCTTTTTTGCAAACCATGGCCTTTAACAGAATTTTGCTTTTGTGCTCTGCTTGTGTGTGTGTGGGAGAGGGGACTGAGAGAAGATGGGATTTCAGGTCTCCACTCATGCAGAAGATTCTGGATGAAATAAGGAAAAGAAGATTAAGTTATTAGGCAAGTTAAGGTTACAATTTAAATAGGCTGGTAAAATTGAACAAATGGAGACAATTTATAATAGCTTTGCTGTTTAAATGTTAATAAATGAGTGCACATTAAAACCCTGAGTATGCACACAGGCAATTATTGCAGAGTAGGCACCCCAGAGGAAGTGCAGAACCAGCACTGCAATAACTTGTCTGAGTAGCAACAGCTTTAATTTATTCAGTTAGACACATAATAGCAACTAACTGTTGATTGTGCATTATCATATTTTAATGACACCCTTGAAATATTTAAAATACCATTGGCTTGATACTTTCTTGAGGAGGATTCTGAATTCAGCATTGTAGTTGGGGATCTTCATGTTGTTACAGAGTGCTACTGCACTGAAAGCTTTCAGTGGATCCTTTTGCTTGTGTTATACATTTGTGTGACACTTCCTGGATTGTTCTATTTTCCTCATCCTTAGGGCAGTTGTTTGTTTCACAGATAGGCTGATGGACTGTGGTCCATTTTGGCAACTTTGCACTTTACATTTTCAGGACTATTACAACCCACCAATTGTCCACTGCCAAAAATTTCCACCAACAAACCACAAAAAACCCCAAACAAAAACCTCGCAAAATCCCCAACCTTTCCAGTCTACCCTCAGAGTGGCAGTGCCTCATCATGACTAAAATAATCCTAATAATGTGTTGAGTTTCATCACCAAGTTTGATATTTTAGAGCTAAATATAATACTTAAATCTCAGAGTGTAGGGTTTGATTTTTTTTTTTTCCTCTTGTTCCCCCACCTCACTCTCCCACCCCAACAAAGTAATGGTAGTCAATCAAAGCTGTTACAGACCATCTTATGAAAACTAGTGATGAAAATCAAGGAGCACAGCATATTTTGTCATGTGTAATCTTTCAATTCCAAGTTTTTCTACAATTCCTCTGTAAATTACAGTGGTTACCTGGTCACTTCAATGCTGTGTGAACTTCACTCTTGCCAGAAAGGCTATTCCAGCTTTTACTCCTCATTATTATGAACTAGAAAGGTGTTCTGCCCTGACTGCTTTCTGCTGTGTGCCTTGTGCCAGCAACAGCATTAAACTCAACAGTGACATCACTTGGCAACTGTTTGGGTGAAAAGAAAAAGAAATACACCCCCAATTTTGAGCTGGGTCAGGAGGTGGTGGCAATGATGAAAAAGGCAACTGCAATGTCCTTTTTGCTGAAAGCTCAGCCTTAGGACTGGTTAAAGTACCCAGGTAATTGCAGCTTTGGTTTTGAATAAGAGAAAGCAGAAGTCTCCAGATTTTTTTTTAATGTGTGCTAGTATTTAGCACCCACAAATTTCAGTTTTGGCTTTTCTGCAAGATTTGAATTTGTGGTTTTTTGTTTGTTGGTTTGTTTTTTTTCTGTAGAGAAATAATTATTCTTTCTATGCTGAATTAATGAAGTGCAAAATCTCCCTAATGACCTACTGAAATGTTTCTTGCTAATGCCAATTAGTTCTTAAGCCATAATATGGATAATATGAAATGAGTAGAAAAATAATCATCTACTTTCTTCATGGCTAAAGATGCAGAAATGTTTCAGAAAAAATCCAGCATGGAGAAATTTGGGTTGGCTGATTTCAGATAGTAGGAGAGCCCTGCTGAATCCTGCAGGCCTGCAAGGGTGGGATCGACCTGGAGGTTGCCAGTGCCGGCCTGGAACTGTGGCAGCACTGGCTGATACACTGCAGTGACAGGAATCCTTCGTGTTCTGTTCACCACCAGAGTCTGGCAGACTCCATCTGCTCCACGGGACAGTGTCAAGTTTTTCTTGAATGGGCAAAAGTTTCTGTAACTGTAGAAAATACTAAGGGAGATATGGGTAAATCAGTGAACTGAATGTAAAGGGGAAAAAAGTTCTCCACTGGCTTTGCTGGAAGGAAATAAGTGATGCCAGTTGTGTTGGTGTGTTTTCAGTAAAAGCACACAGAATTTATTGACATCTGCACTGAATACTTGCAAAACAGAGTTGGCTGATATAATGAGAACATTTCATTTAACTGTTGGGAGGGATGTTTTTAATATAATTGTGTCCTTGTCGCACTCATACAACTATTGATTAACGTATGTGAAATTGTTAAAAAAAATCTGGTTTAGGATGACGTGTATCCATCCTGATGATTGCTAGAAGCCACTGAAATCTCTGAAGACCTCTTTTATTTCATGTATTCATGCAAGATCGGGAAGTCAACATCTATTTTAGGTTAGATGATTAAGTCCTAATATTTTTCTCTAAGTTTATAGTAAGTAGTCACGGTTCCTCTGTACAGTTGTATGGTAAAACCTTTAATAAAACCTCAGCAGAAGGACTGCAGGTGAGGCAGTGCTTTGAGCTGACACTTTTCTGTGTGGTATTTGGCTTTTCTGGTATCATGTTAAACCTAAAGGAATCTTTAAAAATTCTAAAATTCTGTCAGTTGGGTTTTTTGAAATTTTTACTCTTGATTTAATGACAGAAAGTATTTTTTAAAAATAGGAGGGTTTTTATAGGAAACTACAAGATTCAGAAATCCCATCTTTAAGACTGAGCTTGAGAAGAAATGCCATGAAGAAGCAGTGACATTTTCTCTATTTCCACCTCCCTGTAATGGATATATTCCCTGTGCCAGAATTCATGGGGAGGAAGAGCAGCAATGTGAAGGAGCTGAAGGGGTAGCAGTGTATGGCATTAATATGCACAGAGTGAAAAGGTGCATTCTGCAATACAGCTGTGATTAAAACAAACCAGCTGCACCCGGGGCACACTTGTAAACATTGGTATTAAAGCCAGATGCAGACTCATTTGGTTTGATCAGTTCTTCTGATACGGTGTTAAATAACCCCGGTTTTGAAAGATTGCTCAAATTAGTGAGGAGAGTGAGAGCATTTTCATGTGCTTTGCTGAATAGCAAATGGTGTTGGCATCGTGTGGGGTCTGTTGCCTGTGTCCATGACTTTTAGATCTGGACTGAGCACAGAAATCAAATCTTTTTTTGTCCCTTCTCTTTAGATGAACTTCGTCAAGCTATCGTGGCCATGATGAATAGGAAGGATGAACTGGAAGAGCAGAATAGGTAGTTTTCTTTTTTAAGTCAAGTGGGATTGTAATTTAAGAAAAAAATCTGTTACTTTAATACAAGCTATCCTTTATGTGAAGCTATACATAATCTTTGTGTAATCTTTTTGATGCAAATGTTATTTTTCTCTGAAAGGTAAATACTTCACTGTTTAAATGTTGATACTGGAAGTAATGTTTTCAGGTCACCTTTTTCCTTTGAGTTAGTTTAGTTTAATCACAGATAACTCTTGGTATTTTGGCAGCTTTTGCAGTTGCAGGTTTTTCAAAACCAAAACTTACAGCCAAAAAATTCTGAAGATTTCTTAAGACAACTTTCCAAATGAGCAAAAGTTTGTCCTTTTACAAATATTCAGAAAATATCTTTTTTTCCCCTTCTGGTGAAGAACTGATGGAGGATGGCTGACAATGTAATGCTGAAAGTGGCTTTCATTTGTGAAGGTCTTTATGTTCACTGGGGGCAAAATGATGATGGAAATGTAAAAATGACCAGTCTCTTATTTAAAATGCAATCAAGCCTACTTTGTATTTATTTAGTTTATTGAAACACATGATTAGATGAATGAAAGTACAAATGTATTCAATGTTTTAGTAGGGCTATTTTGGTATTTTACATTTTCCTATAGATGTTTTGGGACTTTTTAATGCCGAGAGTACCAACTGATCCTATTTTCCTGCCTCCTCTTCTTCCTACTCCCATAATTGCCAGTTATTACCCCATTGACTGGGTGTTTTTGGCAGAAGGAGCAGAATGCTTTGGGTTTTTCCACTATGCATCATGCTGACCTTTGGGGTCTGTGGCAGAGACATGTCTGTCTCCTACCCTTGCTGGTAAATATATTATAAATATATAGATTATTCCTGAGATGTATGGACTTGCACTGAAGCACTGAAAACACAAGATAAACTTTTTAAAATAATAAATTCTTTCTGCATGGTGGTGCAGTAGATCCCATAATAGATTGTGCTTCAGTGTTAATGAGGTTGTAATAGAAATTAATAGTAAGCATTTACAGCTGCTCAAATTGGATCTATTTCCTTGTAGCTTTTCATATGTTTGTATAATCAAATCATGTGAATTTATTACATCGAATAATGAGATTTTAGGATTGCATTAATGGTGTCATTCAGGCAACCTACTCTGTGATTCCTAGAATATACTCTGGTCATTAAACAGTGTTTGCAGGGTTCAAAACAGAGGTTGTTGCCTTCTTCCAGATCCCTGCGAAACCTGCTGGATGCAGAGATGGAGCTCTCAGCAGCACTGAGGCAGGAGATGGACAACTGGAGAAGGAAAGTAGCAGAGCAGGAAGAGAGACATGCCACGAAAGTCCAGGCCTTGGCACGGTAAGAAGGGCTGAAAATGTCTCAAAAAGTAACTGCAGTGAAACAAGGGAATAAAAAGTCTGCATACAAGAAAAAAGATTTTTTTTTTTCTTCCCCAAAATACACATGCTGGATTGTTGGGATTCTCCAGATCTGGAGGCAGTGTGGACTTGTTTTAGAAGCTGTTTCATTTTAATATTGTTTCCTTTGGTAGGTGTTTTATGTAGTACCACACTGAGATAAGTCTGGGGACCCCTCTGCTCCCAGCAAGTCCTTACTTCAGTATGTAGCAATTGTGCTGAGTGGTCCTTGTGTCAGCTGAAATGAGGAGGAGTATTTGTGTCTTTATTTATTGCTTTAAGTTATTTAACATATGTCAGTGCTGACACAGATGCCCTGCTGTATGTGCCCTCAGGTGTGTAAGCAGTAAAGAATGGATTACCCATCCCTTCAGTGACACTTCCATCTGATCTGTCTTTCTCCTGTTGGATTACTTGAGCATGACTTCATTTGCCTGAGCTGATGCTTTTTTGTCCTCTTGGCAGGTTTTCATGGCTGTTGCCAAACATTATTAACAAACAAGTACGAGTTTCTGGAGTGATGCAGCTGTTTTCTCCTAGCTGCAGGAAGGTCAGCTGTTACAGGACCATTTCCAGTCAGGTTTTGAACATCCCCAGAGGTGGAGCCCGCCCAGCCCCTCTGGGCAGTGTTGCTGGCAGTGGCTCGGTGGCAGTGCTGTCCCTAACGCTGTGCAAGCTGCTGTTGCCTTTCTCTGCCGTGAAGGGTGTGTTGCTGGCTCGTGGTCAGCTGTTTATCCACCAGGACTCCCAGATCCTTCTCCACAGAGCTGTTTTCCAGCCCCTCAGCACGAATGAGTGCCTCGGGCTGTTCCTCCCCAAATGCAAGACTCTGCATTTCCCTTTATTGAACTTCTGAGTCCCGTTCTCCAGCCTGTCCCATCCCTGTGAATGGCAGCACAAACACCCTGTGTATCAGCTGCTGCCCAGTTTTGTGTTGGCTGTGACCTTGCTGAGGGTGCACCCTGGCCCAGCACCCAGGTCATTAAGGAGGGTCTTAAACAACATTGGCCCCAGTAGTGATTTGCCTCCAGCTTGACTTTATGCCCCAGCTATGCTGAAAGAATTGTAACCCTCCCCTCATCTAAATAGGATTCAGCTTAAGAAAGACTTTTGAAGGTAAATGCTACTGTAATAGTTTGATTCTCCTTACAATTCTAAATAATCTCTAGAGTAACCTATGATGTGTAAGATCCTGGGGATGATTCACATGTATAGTAAACAACAAACCCATCCCATGAGTTAAATAAGAATAGTAATCTGGGCCTTTTCCCAGAGAGAAGAGTTGTTTTCTGCATGCACAGGCTGAGTGCTCAGTGTCAGTCCTGAAGTACCACAGCTGAGATTCCTGAAAGCTTTGTATTGCATAGCAGAGCTCGTATTTGAAAGTGATAAATTTTCTTTAAAAAAAGAGTAGTATTTAGAACACTCCTAATTCTGCTTTTGGTGACACATCAAACCAAACTACTCACTTGGAGGGAGGGCGAGATATGGCTAAGAGGGTTTGACATTCATGTGCTGTAAGGCAATAGAGACAATGCAAATACCTCAGTATTTAATATTCACGTTTCAGGTTATAGGAATTGTGTATTCGTGTTTCTTTGACTCACTTCCCCCACAGTTTTTGAATTTGCAGTGACATATGGGTGAATCAGATATTTGTCATGCACATACCTTTTTAAAGAATAGATAAGGAGCTTTTATAACAAGATCTGAAGAGATGCTCACTTAGACTGAGTAGTTATTTTTAAACAAGTTTATGCAATTTCTCTTATTGTTACCAAGACTGGGTATGTTGTGTTGATTGCTCTTCTGACAGTCAGTTTGCCTTGTTGTGTGATAAAAACAGTGTTGGGAGCTGCTTAGGTACAACAAATTCTTGTGTCACCAGTTACTATGGACTTGGGATGCATTTCTTTAATGATTCATTGCAACTCATTTTCTGCCCTACTAACATTGCTACAGCTATTTTGGAATATAGGTTTTCCTTCTGATTTTTTTTTTTTTGGTTGGTTCACTTAGTACATTGTAGGTGATGCTGCTTCAATAGTAAGGGTTGTAAAATTTTGTAATAAATAATATTTTAAACCAAGAAGTTGGACAAGATGAATAATCAGAAGACTTTGAAGTAACAAAAACTTTGCAATTGCTCTGTGGATGCATAATACAGTAGGTGAATAAGAGGAAACTAAGTTTCAGGTATTTTGAAGTAGTGAAAGCTCACTGTTTATATTGAGAACAATTGACCAGAGTAGAAAATTTTCATCATTTGTAAAATCCTGAATGTTTTGAGGGCAAGGGAAATCATTCAGTAAGAACCTGACTGCTGTGATTGGATGGATGAATATTTTTCACATTACGAGAGCTGATATATTTATGTGTGTCCCCAAAGCTCTTTTGCAGAATTTGACATAAATACCCTCCTGGAGGCTTTGAGAACACAAATTTCAGTGACACATCAATCAGTGCAGAAGTGAAGGCTTCTGGATATCTGCAGTTACTCAGCTGGTCTCCTGGACTCTGCAGAGAGTCTCTGCTCTCCTAGACCAAATACTGGCTTACTGAGAGAAATTTTACCAAGTTTACAAAGTTCTCATTGAAAAATGGAAAAAAAATCTTAGGTCACTTCAGTTTCAAGTAGTGGTAATCTCATTATTCTGTGTGAAAAATTGGAATAGCTCTTTCATAACAGTTATTATATTGTTTCAAAAGGAGCAGTCTCAGTGTTCAACCTATTTCCCAGTCTTCTGATAGGATAGACTCGATAGACTCTGTAGTATTATGTTGTCAGCTGGTTCTTTGTTGTCTTTTTTTTTGTCCTTATCAACGAACCTTTCTCAAATTCATGGACATATTGTGCCAGTGGCTTCTTGGCAATGCTAAAGATTTTTAATTGAGATTCCTTCTTCTGTATGGAATGCTATTACATCCCTTTGCAAGGCAAAGAAATTTATTGAAGTTGACTGTGAAATTGGATAATCTCAGATTGCATATCCTTAGACTGCTTTCAGCTGTGTTGGAGGAAAGCATATTACAAAGGACAGGCTTTGTAGCAGGAAAAGCAGATAGAGAAGATGAAACTACACCTTGTAGGGAAATGGGGGATGAGAATTTTGGCTATACTTTGTCTTACACTTCTATGCACCTTCTGTTTACTGTAGATTCTATCACCTAATTTGCCTCCTCTTATCTACTGCCTGTATTACTTCAGCCACATTGCATTTGGGTTTGGCATTTTATATTATTCTGTTTTACAACACTTCATTCACAGCCATAGCCCTTCAGTGATGGGTGAAATGATGTGTTGTGCATCTTGAAATGATTCCATCACTTCCCTTAAGCAGCTTCTTAGAGAGAGGAAAAAATATCTCTTGTTTGTGCTTGTGAAAACTAATTTGAATATTCCTGTAATAAATAACATTTTCTTCCTGCTTAGTTAGTTGGTGACATGTCACAAGTGACAAAAACATTTTATAAAAAGAGTGAGATGCACACAAGATAATCAACTTAATCATATTTAGTAAGGGATGAAGGAGCTTCTTCTAGGAGGAAGAAGTGGAGATTGGTTTTATAATATAATCTCACTCTATTGTATATAGTTCAACTTCCACTTCTATTGATTAACACTGAATAAAATCGGGGTTGCATGGTTCAGAAATCTGATTTGAAATCCATAGAAATATGAATATAGTATCAGTCAAGGCTCCTTATATGAGCAATGTGACGTTGCTCACAACAGCAGTTTATTTGTGTGTGTGTATATACACGTAATTTATGTATATTTTGTGTGTGTATGTATATGTAGTATGATAAGGACCATCAAACATATTTGCATGTGTTTCTGAATACTTCTCAAATAAATTCCCATAACTAAAATGCCTGCCTGCTGTGACCTGTGACGTGCCCATGCCACCCTGGGCATGTGCTTCTGCTCTGGCAAAGAATTTCCTTGTCTGGTGTCCCATCCTTTTATTTTAATCAATTGTTGATTTAGAGAGACTGTATCATTTGTTTGCCATCAACATAGCATAGTATAGAAAATCTAAATTAAACAATTAATGAAAGTTTTTGATTACAAGATAATCTGTTTCACTGATGTGTTTATGTGATCCCACAAAACTCGTTTTCCTGGTACTCTGCTGTTAATGTATTATTAATGTGTAAATATTTTTTTTCCCTGTGGGGTAACTTAGGTAAAACTTATAACAGTATGTTTGTTCCATTGAAAAGGGCTGTCATCTATTTTGAGAAACCAATAATTATTCTGTTCTTTTTATCAACAGAGAAAATGAGGTGCTAAAAGTGCAGCTGAAGAAGTACGTAGGAGCTGTCCAGATGCTCAGACGAGAAGGTCAAACGGTGGAAGGTAAGGACAACGTGAAGGGAAAAAAAAATCCGTGCACAGGGTTTGGTTTTCTGGATGCTGCCATTGAGGGAGACTATTGGAGGCACAGGGATAGTAACTAAATGATGGAAGTGGCTCCTGGACTTGTAGAGAAACAACAGTGAGGGAGTTCCCAGTGCTTAGCCCTGACTCTGATTTACAAGAAACTTTTTTTTTTTTATTGATCCTGGAATGAATCTTTTCAGACAACCAACCACCCAGTCCTGTGCAAGCCCTGGTCTTTACCAGCTCTTCAGCCACACACAGTCCTAGTGTGGCTGGGGACAGGATTTGTGATTCCACCTGCTGCCCTGTATGACATGAGCTCTCCCCCTCTCTCTGAAAAGAGACAGTTCTGCTTCTGTGAGAGCTGTCCCTGATTCATCTCTGACTGGGCTGTTTGCTGCTGTGTGAAGAGTTTTGTAATGCAGGTTGATGGCAAACAAAAGAATGTTGTGTGATGGAATACTAGCAAATTACTGCTGAGCAGAAACAATGAAGAAGTCTCTGCTTTCCTTGCTGAGTCTTCACCAAAAGAAATGAAATAATTTACATGAAACCAGGGGTAGCAAGAGATGATTAGAAACCCTGTTTAGCTCTTCAAACTATCCTAGAGTAATATCTCCCAGTAGTGAAAATAACATATTTGATGTATTATCCTTTTGAGAAAAATACTGATGTAGATTTTTGTACTTATTGTTACAGAGCATTTTCTGGTAGATGGGGTGGCCTTACTTTTTTTCAGTAACAAACTTCCCAGAAAAAGCTGTCAGATAAACAATAATCCGTGAATTACTGTGAGACTGGAACATAAAAATAATTATTTTGAGGAGAGATAATTTAGTATCTCTAGGTTATACTCTTGTTTTGGAGATCAGTGTGTTTGAAAGAGGCTCTGTATTGAGAAGTAATGAGCACATTTTGTATCTGAAAGATAACGAGTTAGCAGCAGGCTTACCTGTTTTTCTTGGGCTCTGTGATAGAAGTGTCCACGAGCAGATGAACTGGAGTCTTGATTCTGAATCCTCTCCTGGTGGGACCTGTATTTCCACTGACTGCAAGGAGGTGTTTTGAGAGCCGAGATGGCTTTTCAGCAATTGGCACCATCTGCCTGATGGTTTTTTAAATTGGGAATATTGTGGTCCTGTAAGTGGCTGCATGGATGAATAGCACTGCTCTTAAGGGCTAGTCACTATACTTCTCTGGAGTTTCAAAACTTCATTCATCCTTAAAAGGATATTTGTTAGTGAGAACACATGTTTTTACTTCCGACTGTGCCGGAGTGTAGTGATTCATATTAAGAATTATTCACGAAAAGCAGCGCTTAGGCTTCTTATAATAGCAGAAATTATCCTTCATTAAGTAGTGACAGTTTCCATGATGAGTGTAATTATAGGAAAAGAAAAAAGTATTCCTAGGCTAGCTATATTCCACCATGTTAAAATTATGCAAATGAGGGAGTGGTAAGAATAGAAACTGAGTAGGATGGTCAGATTTATAGATGAAAAAGGGGGATGGAACAGTACCAACATTTCTAAAAATGAACACATGTATGCTTTATGCTCCAAGGATATTTAATCAATCCGCAGTAATTTTCTGTAATATTTATCATTAGTGACCAGATTCAGCTACATGCACTGTTTGTAATAATTTTTTTTACATTCTAACTCCACACATTGTATTTCTATGAAACTAGAAAAAATTAGCTGCCACTGAAGATTTAGGTGAAATTTTAGTAGTACTGGGGCCTTTGACTCAAAGTAAGTACTCAAGTATGTAAATAATCCCTGAGAACTAACCGCAGAAAAGGAGAGAGAGACAAAAGAAGTGTTTTCTTTTACCAGATTTGTAGAAACTATTGCACCCCATGGTTTGTATATGTAATAAATAACTTTAATGATAATTAATCTTCTTCCAAGTGATATCAAGCCAAAAGTTTTAAATGCATTGTAGATTTGAGAACACTAGGTTTTTAGATTTTCTGTGTAACTATTTTGAAAGAGTCAAAATAAATTGAGCTTCTGCTGTTATTTTTATCACTATAAATAGTGAAGACTCTTCATTTTTGCTACAATAAGATCAAATGCTATTGAGTATGGCTTTTAAATAGTTTCCTAAAATAATAAATGGAACTCAGCATGATACTTTGCCTTGTGGTGACTTAAAAAAGCCAAAAATCCCCACTCAGCAAATGTGATTATAAATAAATTGCCCAAGAGTCAGAACTGAGTCGAGTTCAGGATATCATATCAGCTTTCAAAATGAGTGATCACTGCCATGGACTGAGCAGTTTGATATTGGTATTTAAATATTTAATAAATCAGCATCTTGGTTTCTCAGCCATCAGCAGGAGTTGGCTGTGTACCATTTTTCAAACCTGCTTAGATAGAATATTATTTATATAAAAATGCTGATCTTTAGAGTTTCTGGCTGAAGAACATCAAGCAATATTTACAAGGAAAAAGATCTTAAAATAGCTTTCAAATTCACTTAAATATTAATAAACTTCTGAATGCATATATTCTTCCTCAAAGCAAAAACCAGTTCTCAGGCTTAAGAGTATTTAGTCAGATGAATTACAGTGTCTTCTATCTACCTTAAAATGGGTGTATATATAGTTTAGATTTTGAAAAATAATGAAAACATTTATTAAACTTCTCTTTTATTAGGGCTTGTTTACTTTTATGTGCTTTTATTTTCTTCGAAATTCATGATCTACGGGGAAAAGTTGAATTGCACTTTGTGTAACTTGGAGGGGATTTACTTGGAACGGGCCTGCAAAGTGATCATCAATTACAGGAATGATGGCTGGGAACAGGAATAGAATAAACTGGAGTTTTCATTCCCCGCAGATAAAAGAAGTAATGGGCTTACATGGCAGGTGAAGGAAGTTTGATTAGCTATCAAGACAACTTCTATGAGAAGAATACTTAAATTTAAATAGATTGTGCAGGCAAGCATGATATCTCCATTATTGGAGGTTTCTAGGAATAAATTAGACAATTAACTGTCAGGAATGGAGGAGCTACAGCTGATTCTGCTTTATGCAAAGCCATGAAATACTGGATGGAGGATGAAATGTCCATTCTCAGCCCTGTTTTCTGTAATTTCTGTGATGTGTAAGCACTCTGTGCAAGTAATATGAAACAATATTTTGGAAGCCAAGTAGAAAAAAGGCTTAAAAGAGAAGCATATACTTAGTGTTAAAAGACTTTGGGCAGGATTGGCAGTTACTACCTGCATACATTACTCAGTTCTAGTCAGAAAACAGCCAATTGCTTTTGGTTTACATTTTTTTTTCTATTAAGAGTACCACTCTAAATACTGCTCACAAAAAATGCTCCCTGCAGAATTTGTATATTAGTCCTTCTAATGCTGTTTAATATTACATTCTATTTTGATACTTTTAATAACTGTTTCTCACAGAGCTGTTACTTCTACACAGGATGTCTTAGATGTCTGTGGAACTTAACATTTTAATTTGAGGTAACTCTTTGTTTTAGTTCTGCCAAACCTTTGGAGCACTGATGGTGAATTTACGATTCCAGAGCAAAAGCAAGTAGAGAACAACGAGGAACTCGCCAGCTCTTATGAAAGGAAATTGATTGAGGTAAAGTTTGTCCTGCACAAACTTAATGGAATCATAATTATATTATAGCATTTGAAGCTGGAATGGTTTCTTTGCTTAGCTGTTATTTTTCTCCTCAGCAATGTAAATGGTAAGTCTGACTCTTTTGCTTCAAAAATAAAAGGAATGAGAGATTTAATTTCCCTGCTTTTGCGGTTAAATTTTCCTCATTCAGCTTCAAGGCGTATTTAAAGCAATTCAGATAATTAAAAGTACTTTTCCTAACAGAGGTGCGTTTTTATGCTCTGGTATTAAAAGGAAGGTTTTAATAAATAAACAAGTTCCTTAAGGTTATAAGTGAGGGTGGTGAAGTTGAAAACCTCACAGACAGCAGGTTCCAGGGTTTGTGGAAGTTGTAGGTCATAATTACAGGCATTGCTGTGTTGGCACTTGAGCTTTATTTAAAATGAGAACATACTGAAATCTGTAGCTTTTTCTGTGCTTTCCTGCTGGTTTCTGATTGCCAAACCATGTTTCATTTTTGTGTTGCTTATTGAATTCTGCATTACAGGAATGTGTGATGGAAGCTACTAATTCTGTTGATATGGCCAGGTTAGAAAAAGTTCTTAATGCAAGATTTACTTTTGAGACTGATGTAAAAGTCATTAAAGAAAAAACGAGATAGATTAGGGTTTCATCCTAAATTTAAATACAAATTATTTTCAAGACAAAAGTAATGAAATTTAATATCTAATACCCATATCTCCTATTAAATATTAAAAGAACATTTTTATAAAAAGTAAAAAAATTCTCTCTCTTTCTCTTGCCCAAAATACTCTGAAATTGGATACCCACATTAACTGATTAACGTGAAGAGGACTAGAAATGCAGGTCATGCCTCAAAGAGATTAATACAGTTCTCAAACATTCATACTTGGTTATCCTTTTCTCTCCTTAAACCACACCTGTGCTTGAGTTCTTCTGACTCCTGTCCTCTGGTCTGTACCAATCAAAAGAATATCTTAATTAACAGCACATGAAAAAAATCTCTTTCAGCTTTGCAAGCCTCCTTTGTTCTACCCAGATTTGTTGCTGACACTTGTGAGTTTGTGGCAGACAAACCCCTGTAACAATCCTTCCTTAAAGGCCTTAGGGTGGCACAAAACCTTGTAATTAAATATTAGTTGTGTTGGAAGTCAGGGTAGAAAACAGGTCTTAAATCAGTAAACTGGGCAGCACTTTTCTGTGGAATCACAAACCTTCTGTAGCTTTCATTGGGTGAGATGTAATTTCCTCTGGCCAGGGAAGTTTGGCACAAGTATAGCCCTTTTTTTGCAGAAATTTTGAAAAAAGAAGCAATAATTGAGCATTTTATGGCTGTATCAATAGATTTGTAGAATTGTCTTTGCCACTTGGAGTCTTCCTGTTTTCACTTGTAGAAAAATGGAATTATTAATTAGCAGTAGGATACCTGCTTGGTTTTTTTTGAAGATCTTTGGCTTTGTTTCTGTTGGGGAAAAATGCAGATTTTTGAAAATGAAATCTTCTCATGGGAAAAATACATCCATGCTTCCACTAAGAACAAAAGGAAGCAACTTCCTGTTCTGTCTAGAGTTACTTGGGAGATACAATGTTTTGTATTTTGTGACTATTGGGGGAAAAATGCCTATGTACTTGACAAAAAGGAATTGATCCAGATGTGAGTTGTGCAAAATCTTCTATGAATTTTAGCTGTAAATCATATAAAAAAATAATCTTGGACTGTTGTAAGTTCTTAAATGTTTCTCTACTCTAAAAGTGTGTCCTTCCAAGATAGATTGTGTTATTCAGATGCTTAGGGAAACACTCCTAGCATGTTTTAAGTTAGCAGCTTAGTCCTTTGCTGTGAAACAAGAAGTGGTGTAAACATGTTTTCTGAGATGGCCACCAACAAGTCTGAATGATTATCTGTCCAAGGGAAACTTAGGTTATTTGTATTTTGATACTTTTTTTGCTTCAAACCTGTTGTTGTGGAGAAAAACGACTGTGAAGATGATCGAAGTCACAGGAGGGAAATTTATTGCTTGAACTTCAGGGTGGATTGAATAAAGGAAGATGTGATGACATAAGATGTAACTGAAAGAATATAATTATATGGAGACCTCTTTATTGTTTTTAGCAGACTTTGATGCAGGAAATATTAAAGAAACCTAAATTAATGTTGTTATTCAGAAGTATACCTGATCCTCCTTTGGGTTTGCTGTGGTGGTAGTGTGTTTTTCTTTGACAAGAAAAAGGAGGGAAGTAACTTAATTACTAATAAGTGATACCTGGCAATTTGTCCTTTTGATAATATGTAACAAGTGATTTGCTGTTTTATTTGCTGTTAAATTTCCTTTTGATTATTTAGCTTTGCTAGGGACACATACATTTTTGTATTACTAGTGCTTTGAGAGAGTTATTGAATTTACATATTAATCGAGTCTGCAAGTAGAAAGTTATTTCAAGGACAACCAAATTAGACCAAGAGAGAAGAGTCACATATAATATCAGACAGTTTGAATTTTGTTCTTCTGATAGAAATCAAACATGATTCCAAATATGCAAACTACTAAGTTTTGTATCCATTCACAAATTTGTGTATTGATTTTTGAGAACCAGTCAACCAGCTATCAGTATTATGGTTTTTCTCTGTGCATTTCCAACTATCCAAGTATTCAATATTCTACTCTATATATTCTCTACCTTTTCGTATGTAAAATGCAAGGAAGTTCTGCCTCCCAGCCCAGTCTCTGTAATTAACCTGTTAGTATTAACCAGAATCAGAGACTTATGATATCCTTAAATGCTACACCACTGACTTAAAATTGGAATTAGTGGTTAAACAAGTATGGAAAAAAATTTATCCAGAGTAAATGACATTACATTAGTATTTTTCCTAGTGTAAAGTTGGCTTAGTTTGGCTCCTTTTTGCTTGTGTGTTACACTGATGAATTACTGGATTTGAAGGACTCCCTCTAATGTAAAAAGAAATTGGAAAAGAATACTTGAAGTTCACCTCAGGAAAATTATTTTTATTTTTAATCAGTGATGTCAGATCCTGCCTTGCCAAATTGCAGCTGCTTTTTTCTGGTTGCTTTGATTGTGTGAACGATACAGGTTGTGTGGAACAAAGCACGAAATTAAAAGTGAGCACTAAATTAAACTGAATTCAAGTGCTTTATTTTGGGGAACTTCCCTGGGGAAAAGGGAAAAGGCAGAGTAATTCAAGGAAAGGAGAGCATGAAATTCATAGATAGTAATGAACTGCCTCCAGAAAGGAAACTGAACTCCTAAGAGAGTTGGCAGTAGTCCAAGTCCCTGTGATAATATTGAAGGTACTGGATTGATATTCATCTTTCAGCTGTGTCTCATATTGTTACCCTGTTGCCTCTGCTGTTCTCTGAGCTTTGGATGGTGATTTGAGGAGGCATTTGAGGAGCTGCTGTGACTGCAAACAGGTATAACAATAGTGATGGCAGCTGCTGTGCCCACCGGAGGGGCCAACCACTGAGTGCTGCTGTTTTCTTCTATCTGCTGTAAACTTCCCATCCCTGATGTTCACCCAGCCCTTGTCACTGTCAGGAACATCCTGCATCTCTTGTGCTTCCTGAGCTCCAAACCGGAGAGCACACCCCAGCCAGACTCGGTGAGCCAGGAGGCCTCACGTGAGGCCGTGCACTTCACTCTGCCCCAGCATCACTGGTGTTTGGCCTCCTTTGACCCCTCACAGATTGGCCTGGGATGAGTGCACTTCTAGCTCCAGTGCTGTTAAAACTCCAAGTAAGGGTGCAGAATGCATCACTTATGAATTATTGACAAAGTTTAATGCAGTTTGTGCATTTTGCAGTAGTCCCAGTCCAGAATATTGTGATTTGTTTGTACCTGTTGAGGGCTGTGTTCATCGAAGGATTAAACTGAGAACAAAAGTTAATGAGTGTTTTATTAGAATCAGTTGTCACAGGATCTCCCCTGATAGGAATAAAAGTTGACATAGAATTGTATTTGGTCTTGTTGAGTTCAATATCAGAATTACATTGCAAGGCATGAATCAAAATTATAATGATCTCTGTTCTTAATGGTCAAACTGATGCATTAGCAATGAGATGCACTCCTTGGAGAGTATGGCAAAATGAAACAAAACATCAATAAAATTTGATATACATGTAAGAAATTACACAGTGTGATTGTTTTATTTTTTTCTGTTTAGAACGCAGTTACCTCTTGGCTTTGCTGTTCCAGGTGGCTGAAATGCATGGGGAGCTGATTGAATTCAACGAGAGGCTGCACCGTGCCCTGATGGCCAAGGAAGCTCTTGTGGCCCAGATGAGACAAGAACTAATTGATTTGAGAGGCCCAGTGAGTGTTTGTTTATGGTACTGTAGAATCTACCACTCTGGAATAAGTTCAGACTCATGACATAATATATAACAGATCTGTCAGCAACACCTTACTTGGTATTTCTGATAGCATTAGATTCTTGTTTCTTTACAAAATTATTCTAACATGAAGGACTGACAAGGGGTGATGTGTTCACAATCCTTCTGAACGATTTCGTTTTTCTTTCATTGTTTCTCCATAATAGTTTTTATTGGCATTTATAAAATTGAATGTTGAATTGTAATTTCTTTATAATATTGTGCTTTCTTAATTGAAAACATAATATCCAGGCTGTGGGAATCATTTCTGTTTTGTAAACACAGGTGCCTGGAGATTTGAGTCAAACATCTGAAGATCAGAGTTTGTCAGATTTTGAAATGTAAGTTTCATAATTCATGAATTTTTCTCTTCATACTGTCTTTATGGCCAAGAAGAATAAGCAAACAGATTCAACAATTAGCTTTTCCTATGTTATTTCCAATAGCTGAATTCTTAGCTGTGTGTTGTTAAAAGGATGGAGAGCTGCACAGTCCATGTCCTAGTGTAGTTTTCAATAATGTTGAATGCAAGGAGTTTAGATTTAGCTGAGTCGTGCCTATAATCAAATGTTGTCAAATCTATGCTGTGAAAAAGGAAACAAAACCCAGAAAACCTGCAGAAGGCATTGTTTCAGTGCTCTATATCGGTGCTCCATTTCAGTTGGGTTAATTTTAGGAAACACTTTTAAACCCAGCACATATAAAAAGTTCAGGCAGAACTCCAATTTTTCTGATACTTCATTTGAAATATTAAATTGCTTGGTTGATCACTTTGATCATTATCTAAACCATTGGATGTAGTTGCTTTGCAATTCATACACATAAATATGATTCCCTATTTTAAGTTTTTCTCTCTCCTCCTCAGATCAAACCGTGCTCTTATTAATGTTTGGATTCCCTCAGTCTTTCTGCGTGGAAAAGCTGCTAATGCATTCCATGTTTATCAGGTAAGTGATAAGATAGAGCTCAACACAGATTTTGTGTAAAAGTTTCTGACTGAAATAGAACATTTTAGTAATTTAAAGATCTCCATATAATTTCATTAGAGATCAGCTGCTGAACAGGCAGCAGTAACTTCATATATATTCAACCAGAGGATTATGTTGATTATCCAAATAGCTTTTTTTGAGGGTTGAGTTTTAGTAGTTTAATACTTTGAAAGCATGCTAATAAGATGTCTGCACTGGTCAGGGAGTGCAACAATTCAATATTAATCAGTAATGCCTTCTTCAATGTGCATGTACATGTTTTATTTCAGTTCTGGAGATAGCAATGCCCAGAAATATTGCTCGACAGACAGACAGGTGTGTCTTACTGTAGTAGCTCAATTAAAAACATATGGAATGTTGCAACAAATCTTCACTGTGTGTCACTGAATGTGTTCATAGTGTGCTCTGCTCAGGCAGGTCTGAATTTAGGGGTTTGTGCTCTAGCCTGATGTGCAGTTGAGGCATTGAAACCTTACACTGTTCCTTGATTCCTGCATTCTCCACACTCTCCATGGATAGGATGGCAGGACAAACCTTAAACACTCTTTAATATGCTGCCCCAGGCTGTTTGTATTTCTTTATTTGGGGATTGTTAGCAGCTGCAAAATTTCTCCACTTTTGTTTCAGGCACATGTATTTAGTTCTGAACAAGACTGCTGAAGCTTTTTAACATTCCTCTCACTCTGAATGGTGGGTTTTGTAGAATGTTAAATCATTTATGAGGTGTTGGCAGATAGTTGTAGAATACAGGAAAACACCCACCTTTTGGCCAGTAATAGACAATGAAAAATAAGACTTTAGGTAATGGAAAGAAAAGCTGACAGTATGGAACAGTTAGTAATTTGTTCAAAACCACTGAATAATCAATCAAATTCAGATCCACAAGTGAGTGTGGAAACCTGACTTGTTGACAAGAATGATTATTTTTGTCTTTTCTGGCTTTCACATGTTCCTCCATTGTGCTGTCACTGGCTACACATTCTCAAACCCAGACTTCAGTCTGCAAACAGAAATTATTAAAAGCCTCAGTATCTCACCCCACCACATCTCTGCTACTCTTCTGATGTAGCAGTTCCATGTCCACTAGGAGAGCTCTGGTTTCTCCTGCTGATTTCTCAGGTTGCTCTGTTTTGTTCTTTTCATCCTGCTGGAGTGGGAAGGTTGAACCAGATGACCCAGTGTGGTCCCTTCCAACCTGACCCATTCTGTGAATTCTTTGAAGAACTTACTGTATTTTTAATTTCACTTGTAAATTGGTGTCAAATTTGGTTACTAAAGAGCTCAATACTTGTCATGCAGTTTGAGTGAACGTGACTATGCCAGTGGCATCGTGAAAGCCTGGAAATTATGCACAATTCACATATACTGTAGATGTTCTGCACATTCTTTTTCAAAAGGAAAAATACTGAGATAAACTAAGCTTCTCAATTTGTAAGAGGTTCAGTACTTTACCCAAAATCTGCTGGAGTGAGTAGAGGATTAGATGTTGCTCTGAGACTTCATCTGTTACTTGTCATCAATGGAAAACAAAGAACTTGTAATTGAAGGATAAGCGTCTTAAAAATAGGAAAAAAGGAAGCAGAATATTGCAAGTTTCTAAAAGATTGAAAATTCTGGATCTGCAAAAAGACAATTCTGAGAATTCTGTTAGGTTCTTTGTGTCTACAGTATAAACTCATAATGTTGGGCATTCGTAATGTGTAAAATTGGTATATATGAAAAATGTATAAGTTCTTTTCAATATGCTCTATTCATTACCTATTCACCTGCAGCAAGTGAATAGGTAATGAACCTATTCATACCTGTAGCAATTTACAGATATATATATAAAATGAGAAAAGTTAAATATAGCTATCTAGAATAGACATAGAATGTAGTAAGACTGATTTGTCTTTAATTACAGAGTAACACAGAATATCGTAGAATTTTTCTGGTGAACAGCTGTCCATTTGCTCAACTTTGTCTTTTAATTGCTCAAAAAAAGCAAGCAAGAATTATCTGTAGAAGTGACTTAAAGCTTCTATAATTCTTATTAAACATTGATCATTGTAGCTGTTGGGATCTTTCCTTATGGAACAATAGATTAATGGCATTCCTACCACTTTTTGATCTCAGTAACAGAAGCGTGACTGGGAAGAGTATCTGTCTGGCAAATAGCTTTGTTTTCTGCCACTCTGCATGTGAAAAAAAGAATTTTTCCTAAATAAACATACACTCTGAGAAGAGTATGTGATGAAACATCTGAAGTGATTGCCACCTCTCTGATCAATTATGTAGTCACGTGCTTGCTGAATATATATTTTACATTTTATAGTGACCAGGAAAGCATTAATTTATAAAACTTCAGTAACAGCACTGTGCATTTATCTTGTTAAATCTGTGCCAAAACATGTGCTCCTGATTACAGAGAATTTGATTCAATGTTGAAATTGTGGAAAAGGGTGTTTACCAGGCTACCAGTATGCACTGAACAGACAAGGACTGGGGGTGCAATTAGGAGAAATGATTGGGCTCATTTCAAAGAGTCCTCTTATTCATAATAAATGTTATTTTTACTGCTTTATCATTTATTTCTCCAAAGGCAGAAAATTAAAAGGCTTGTGTAACTCTTTGTATCAGCTACATGGGAAATTACTTGTGGTATATCAATGTAAAGGAAAGCAGCAATACTGCAGAATGTTGATGTTAGTGAATGTTGATGTTAGTGAGAGCACTACCAACATCTTTTCAAGTTGAGAGTTCTCTGCAAGTACTTGAGTGACCATAACTTGAAGTGTAAAAACTGACTCTTGGTTGTGCTGGTTAATTCTAGAAAAAGATGTGAAATGAACTTTGAAGAAAGCCAAAGTGTGCCAGCTGGAACAGGCAAAGTTTGAATTGTTGGGTTTGGTTAAGCATAATTTGTAGATATGCTAAGTACTGACAATTGTAGTTAAGGCTAATTTCCAATTAGCTTTAAGGTGCTTAACCTGACTGCAAATTAGATCATGTGTGTAATGCTATTAGGGGAAGATGTGGTTACCAAATGAAGGTGTTACAGAAGGGCACAGCCCCTTGCCCTCTGCTTTTCCAAATGCACTTCATGTAAATGTATTTCTAACGTGGCTTGATTTCTTCTGCATTTTCTGGTATTGGAAAGCTAAAGAGATTGACCCCATCTGCCCTCCTGTTATGAGACACCTTGTTAACCTTTGCTGATTTGAAATTGTGTATCTCTGGAGCATTTCACTTGCTGCAGAGAGCAGGACAGTGAGCCAGTGGAGACTCGCTGTGTCACAATTAGTGTTGATGCACTTTAGAATTGTTGTGCCTCTTCTATCCCTATTTGCATATAAATTAGTATTTTCTAGCAGAAAATAAACTATTGTGTACATATTACTTGCCTTGGATATAACCAAAAGAGGGTGGAAAGAATTGCAGAGCACCCCAGGTAGTTTGGAAAATTATGAACCTACCAGTTCCACAGTATCTACCATCTGTTTCCATGGACTTATCAATGCTTCTTAAGAATATAAGAATTAGGAGAAATAAACCCAGGTTGCTGTTCCTCTGTGAAATCAATGCCAATTTTACATTTGTGCTTCTTTAACAGGAAAAGAAATTAATGACATGTTAATTTACGTATCAGGAGGGTCCTGACCTGGACAGGATAAGAACAGACTCCTGCAGGAGTTGTGTTATGGTGTTTGCTTTATTTTTTTTAATTTATTGCAGATTTGCAATGCTGCTTTGAAGGGCATTTCAAAGTGTTTCTTTTTGTGTCACATCAACATTTTACTCTGTTTCAGATGTCATGTTCAAAATCAGCACATCTTTCATCCTTAAAAACACCCAGGTGTTGTTCTTGGGTGAATGTAGATGGAAAAGTTTCCAGCTCCAGCACACTTGTCACATAGTTTCAACCATCAAATAGTTCCTTAAATTTCTATTAAGGATTAAAGATTCTGGTCAAGCTCAGAACTCTGAAAGCAAGCAACATTTTATAATGAATCCTATTAGATGTGGAAATTTCAATCAGCCCCCTGTATTTGTAGAGTTACACTGCACTCCTGCAGTAATGTTTAACTGGCAGAATTAACTGGTTATGAATATTAAGGACTTAAAAACAAGGTCTAGAAGCAGCCAAATTTTATGCTCAATTTGAATGAGTGAGTTAAAGGGGACAGTTGTGAGCAGCAGATAATTCAGTGCCCACAGAGTAGCACTAGCTAGGACTGTCTTAAAAATGAACAGAGCCATAGACTTACACCTTCAACTGTGGATCTTACAGCAATTAGAAGGTGTATAAGTTTTGGGGGAAAAAGCTGTTTAGAACTGGATATGCACTTCAGTGCAGTTGCTAAGTTCAATGAAAAATATTTCTTCACTTGTTTTCTCAGAATATAAAGTAGTAACAGAAAAATGCACATTTTAAAATCTGTTTTCACCATGGAGTTATAGGTTATTCATTCCCATTCTGGGTTATTGCTTGTGGAGAATTAGCAGATTGTCTGTTTTAAATGAAATAGCAGTAGCAGATCTTGTTGAACAAATAAAGAATAAATCTCCACGTGCAGTGCACCAGGAATTTAAAGGTGAAATACCTGAAAAGTGACTGATAAATAGCTTGTGACTTGCATACTAGAAGATTTTAAAGTAGCTAATCTGACATAAATTTTAAAAGGGTTTAGGGAGGTCTGAAAACCAACTTGTTACAAATCGTTAGGAAAGCAGTGGAAAAATAGGAGACTCTTTTACTGTGTGTAATCTCTGGTTTATCTGTATGCAGTTCTAGTTTTCTCCAAAGAAATACATCAGAAATGGAAAGAATATAGGTGAATAATGAAGCTTTTTCATTGGAGGAACATACTAGAAATTCTCAGTCTGCATGCAAGACAACTGAGAGGGAATACAATAGCAGTCTTTCAAATCATGAAGGAAATGGAGAGGTTTTAAACTGTTTCAAAATGCAAATTGGA